AGCAAGGGAAATTGGGTACGGTTCTTTCTCTCTGTTTGCCTCCGAGATTGGGGGGGGGTCAAGGTTCTCTGGCTTTCCCCTATGAAGGCTTCAGTTTAATGAGCAAGCATGTATCTAAACTTCTGGCGAGGTGCCTGCGCTCTTTCTGCAAACTTATTTCTCATCAGGATTTAGGGGAGAGAGGAGAGGAAGAAGCTTGACTAATCTGTTTGTGTCGGCTTCAGAACCACCATTTTGGTTTAAAGCCATTTTTTTAAAGATGTGGAAGGTGAAGACGCCCTATAGAGAGAGGCCAAAATCCTGTTGCTTAGCATAGTAAGTTGCAACTAGAGTAGGGCCATTGAATCAATGGGGAGTTGGGGAGTCAGCTCTTCCGTGAGTTACATTGACTTACTCTGCTAAAGCGACAGGATTTCAGGCAGTATATGTTATTGGCTCAGGGCTGCTTCATGTATTTTAATTTTCCACCTAAGGGTGGAAGGCATACTGTATTCTGATAAGCTTGAAAATCAGACACGGCATATACATGAGGTATGAAGTGTCTGTGCAAAGCAGCTTTAAAAGCAAACACGTGTGATTTTTAAAAGGAAGGACACTTCTTATACACGGTTTCACACATGAGGGTGTTTGTGGTATTTCTTTCCCACTTCTCAAATCTAACTTTTAAAAATGCCACATGCAAGTGGGCTCTCAGCATCCAAGGATCAGTGGGCTGTGGCTTTCCACGATCAGAGGAAAAAGCCCCTTAGCCCTCCATGGGTCCCTGTGCTCTTGAATGGCTCTTAGCACTACCACATTCTTTCCTCCCCCCTTCCCCCCATCCCTTGAGTCCTTTCTCCAAGTTATATGGGCAAAAGGTAACATATGATCCAGCAACGGGAACATATAGAAATAGAATAATATAAATTTGCTGCAGCCTGAGAAGGCTTCTGCAGAAATTCACATCCATATATACATATACTTTACTGCAGCAAAGTAAATTTATATTACTCTATTTATATAGAGTAGAAATAGCAGAAACAACAACACTAGTAGCTAAAAGAATAAATACAATAGAAATCATTGCTAATAATGTATTAAAAACCAGGGTGACTGATCATGTGAACAACTTGGAAAATAATCAGGGGTCTACCCGGATAAACAGATAGGTCTTCAAATGGCAGGAGAAGCATTCATGACTGGTAACCCGTCTAATCTCAAATGGTGTTCACAGCAATGGTGTGTGGACTTTCCTTCAGAGAGCACCAGGTGAACCTCCCTGCCCTGCAGTAGACTAATCCTGGGCTGGCCCTCAATATGTAACAGTTGAGGTGGGGTGTACAGGAGAAGGAGGCTCTCTCAGAGATCCTTGGCCTGAGCTGTGTAGGGGGCCTCTTTTAAGACAAAAGAAACAAGAACTTCCAGGTCATTGAAAGAATGAGCGGAGCCCAATCTTACCGGCCCTCTGCCTGTGTCTCCGCAAAGAGCATGACCCTACTTTCTATCTCTTAAGACCCATGCGGTAGGTCTGCACTCTTAAGAGATTGCAGCAACTGATCTTGTTTTATGGGGAGGCTGGTGTTTATCTTGCATCACTTAATGCTTCCCATCAGTAGCAGCCTTGGTACTGACAAACCCCACCAGATTTAAATGATCCAGCCTGTAGTCCAGCAGCGGAGAGAGCCCAAGGCTCTTGAGCAAAGGTTCTGCAAATCCCTCCCCCAGTTCTATCCTAGGCTAGCAGCTGTACACGTCTCCCCCCCCCCCCGCCCCTCAGTTGCATGCAAATTTCCACCCAGTGTGCACACAGACCCTCCAGAGGACTGATCACCAGCCGTGTGAATGGCATGGAAAAGACTTTGGGAAAACCTCTGAAGGGGCCATGGATAACTAACTCACCATGTTGTGCTTGTTCTGCTGCCCTGCTCCTCTTGTACCTATTATGGGAACACCTGTTGCCTCCTTGATGTCATGGTTGCTAAGTACTTGGAAGAATTACCAACCCATCAGTCATTTTCTGTTCTGGCCTCCGAGGAGGCTGGGCCATCTTGTCTCCGGCCGCTGCCCTGTAGCCTACTGTGTGCTGCATTGGTGCTTTTGCAGTCCGCCGGACTCCAAAAGGCTGTCACCCTCCCAAATGTAAGGTGTCGCTTTTGATTCCACCCTCCCACCACAGCCCCTCCAAAGGACAAGAGGCTTTGAGATCAAAAGTTTGATAACCTTGCATGTACGATTTAAGTATGTGGTTATCATTCCATTATTCTGCACCACATCTGGTGACCTTTCTCATCCTTTGTCTGCTATCCATCTGTCAGGGGCCCAGCCATTGTCATAGGGAGGTTGAATGCAGCAATAGACAACATAGCAAGAAAAAGCGACACAGGCGGTCCATTCCCCTGAGCAAAGAGCCACGTGACTGTGTTCCTTCCATTGGAAGTCTGTTTCTCTGCAAACTGTTTGCCCAGACTTGGAGAACAAAGAGAATGCCACAAGGAGGAAAGTAGCTTTGTCAGGGCGAGTGCACAGCTAAAACATTTATCCCGGTGTGCCATTCATAGAATCATCATAGAATTGTCCTGAGTGTTCATGAGTGTTTTAGTATGGAAAAGACACTATCTGCACTCTCGTTACAGTGTTTATGTTTTGTGAATCCCCTGCCTTTCATCCAGTGTGCTAGGGAGTCAAAGTTGAAAGTGCTTAGATGACTAGGTGAAATGAGTTAGGGCGATTTGAGCAGGTTTTCCAGGTGGGCATGAGACACAAGTCCCTGACAGCATTCCTCCTTCCTGAATAGCAAAAGCAGAGCAAACGGTGCTCAATCTACAAACGTCTGTGCTTTTTACAGCGTATAGCAAGCATCCATGTGCCCTAATCTGGGCATCTTCACACCACACAAATGAAATGAGCACATTCCTATTCCTTCTCTCCCTCATTTGCTGCGAGAAGAGGACAACAGAGGAAAGGAACTGAATTTCTTTCTTCTGCGAATCAGGGGCCGGAGTCAGGAATCGATACAGCCCTATATAGAGTTCACAATCACCCTCAAAGGCTGTTGATATTCTTACTGCTGATCCTCTCCATTGCTGCCAGCTGTCTGTCTTTTCCAAATATGCAAGCAGTATCCATAGATAGAGCAACATCTTCTCCCTGGTGCTGTTTCTGGTGGCTATGCAAACCAAGCACAGAAGGAAGAAGTAATCTTAATTGATTAGATAGGCGGGAGACCAAGCACAGAAGGAAGAAGGCAGGTGGGCAAGCAGAAGAACAAAATGGAGGGAGTAGAAATCAGGAGAGTATTTGGAGGGTGACCATCTACGAGGCCTTTGTGCTCCAAAGTCTGAAGCTGGCACGGCCTGCAAACCAGGATTCGGCTGTCATTGCTTGTGTGCTTCCCTTCCTGTTACAACTGGCTCACAGTGCCAGCTCCCTATGGGCCCTGCCTGGAGCCATCTTTGTCCCCTCCTCTTTGTAATTCTTTCTGTTCCCAGGCTCTCAGATGACCTCGTGTCCTTCATGGGGATCCTCTGCCCCACTTGAGAGACGTGTAGATCTAGGTAGAGCAAACTCCTAGGAAGTGGTACGAGGGGGAAAGAGGGCAGGGTGGAGAAAAGGGTGTCCATGTTTATGTCAATGTGACTATTTTGTATTTAACTCTGCTGGAAATTTTTGGCATGATTTCAACCACCAGAAATGAGGGGAACACTCTGCTTCTCTTGCAAAGTTCCTTCCTCAGACTCTTCATCGGAGGGCAGGCTCCTCATGAATTCAGAAATAAGGCATCACCATAAGCCAAACCATTCATTTTTATTGCAGCTTCCCTTGTGTATTTATTGCTTTCATGGCCAGAGCGGGAGGGTGAGGGTGTGCTTAGCTGCTTGTTCAGCAAAGAGGGAAGGCTGTACCCCACTTCCTTAGGGAACCCAAACATCTCTCAAGGGTGACTGGAGGCTTTATGCAACTGAAGGGATCATTGGAAGAAACCCAACCCGAGGGAGTAACCTTGAACCCCCTCCTTTCTGGCTGTGTTTCTCGCAGGGGAGACAGAAGACCAAAACAACAGAGTCTGGTGACACCTTAAAGACTTATTTTATTTAGCAAAACCTTTCAGATATTGTAGCCCTTTTCTTCAGATGCATGAAGTAGGCCATAGTCCTTGAAAGCTGGGCCAAAGGAATCTTGTTAGGCTTTCCGGTGCCTTAGGATTCTTGGTTACATTTGTTGTGGAGATCCTTGTGCAGATCTACTGGTAATTCCCATAAAGCAAGGTCCAATTCAACAGGCTCCCAACCTGTAAGCCTGGTTTCCCTTCTGAAGCCTTCAAGATTTTCTCGGGAAGCTCCTTTCTGAAAATTCCTTTTTGTATGCTTCTCCCCTGCTGTGACTCTTTTCTTGCACAGCCTTGGAAGCCAACCTTCTCCTCCTAATTCTATTCCTCCCCCACCCTTGCTAAGCCCAGCAGGTGAGTGAGTTCCCTTGGCCATGCCTGTCCCACTGCTTGCCATGCCTAGAATGCAAATAAGCAAGAGCAATGCTACCATCTGGTGGCCACATATCTAAAATAGCCGTATTTTGTGTTCGTGTGGAGTACAAGCAAAGCTTCAGGGCCAAACCCATAGGGGTGCAAATTTGCAGCTGATTCTATCAGTTTCTTCTTTAATGGAATACAGTAATGGATTGTAGGTCTCAGACTGGTTGAAGAGGTACTGGGGAAGAGGATTTCCATCACACTTCTCTCGTCTAACTCACTTGGGTTGCTGTTTAATTTCCATTTCTCCCATTCACTACAAGCCAAAGTAGTGTTATAGGGGAACTTAGATCTGGAAAAGGAGGCAGTGGGGGAGAAGGATGAAATCATCTCTTCCCAAACACTGCTGGTTCCATCAAACTGGCAGCTTCCTCTCTTCACCTCTTCATTTCATTGTAAAGAGAAAAGCAGCAATAGCATATATCGTTTGGCCTTATGCTGACTAAGCAGTGCAAGAATTTGTCTGTTTGTACTTAACTCACCCTGTGCTTTCCAGACCAGAACCCAGCAATAGAAGAAGTGGCTCATAACCACGACAAGCCCATATTGCAGAATGGGAAAGAAGAGGTGGAACAGCCACAGATCAAGGTTCCCATGGATGTTCCCAAAAGAGAGGAGAAAGAGAAACCAAAAGAGGAGGTGCAGCTGGATCGGCCTGACCAAGGTAGGGTAGAAATAGAATGGGCTGCAGTCGGATTCTATTTGGTCTCTAGTTGGGTAGATGGGGTTGCAGGGTCCCAATGGCGAACATGCCTTAATGGGACTTTGTGTTATGGTACTTGTCTGCTCTTTCTAGTCTCCTGTTTTCCTTGTCTCTGCTGCAGGGTTTGCACAACCCATTGGAGAAGCCCATCGCCACGAGCCACCAGTACCACGTGATGAGGTAGTGGTGGATGAAGGTCAGGACCGTGACGAGCCTGAAGACGAGCAGCCGCCCGCCAACAAGGAGGTTCTGGTGGAGGAGAGTCCTGTGTTGGGAGATGAACAGGCAAAGCCTCAACCTGTTCCCAAACAACCCAAGGGTGAAGGCAACCAGGAAAAGCTGGAAGGCCATCCTGTAAAAGATGCAAAACCACTGCCAGAGTCAGATGCTCAGGAAGATCAACGGCCTCCATACAAAGACCTTCAGCTGGACCAGCAGGACAAGAAGAGAGATAAGGACGTGGGTGGGAAGGACAGTATCATTCTGCAGGAAAGGCTAAAGCCTGCTGAGAAGGAGAATGACACAGGTAGAACCTTCTTCTGCTTCTTCCTTCTGTCATTCAAGACCTCAGTTTATCACCTGGGCCCCTGAGATTTTGCATTCCTGTGCGTAACTATAAATCATTGCCGCATTCAGCTGGTGCTGCAGAGAATTTGAAGAATTCACACCTGACTCCAGGGGTATTTGAGCCATGCCCAGCCTGAGTCTCTGAGGCCTCAACTCTGCCTTTCCCACCAATAAGTCCTATCTTTAACTCTCGGTATCATGTGACATCTGCACATTCACCTCCATGAGTGAATGAGTAAGTGAATGAAATGCATTTCCTATAGTAAGACAACACAGTTCCTGCATTCACAGGAAATGAATATTCATTGCCTTCTTTGCACTCTTATTTTAAAATGTGTATTTGTGTAATGGAATTTCAAATATTTTAATAGTGAATTGTCAAAGGCTCTCGTCACCTCTGCCTGTATCCACTTTTTCATATGACTGCTACACAACCTTTACCACTCTTTCTCTTGTTGTGGGGGCAGGGTGAACTATAAAGCAGATGGCAGTAACAGATCTAGTAATATCTATTCTGCAGTTGTTTGCTTGCTTGCTTAGCATCAGGTGCTGTGCCATGCTGCTCACTGGGGACCCCGTGTGAGCTAGGAGAGCCTGACAGGTGCCCACATTACTGTGTGTCCACTACAAAGCTCTGTAGGGTTAGGTTTTGCATTTTAATAAGCCAAGGCAGTTAGCAGAGGTTTGGTGCCAGCAGGCTCTCATGCTATTAAATATTTTTATGACTTTCTGCGGACATCACGTTATGGGGAAAACTACATACCGAGTGGGTGGGCGAAGGGAGGCACCGAGGGGCACAGAACATCTGGCACTTCACTGGCTCCATCTAGAGATGCCTGTCTGTTCATTTTCTTCAGGGGAGAAGAAGGAGCTGCCTCCTCCAGAAAGGCCAGAACCACCCCAAGCTGAAGAGAGAGAGATCCGCAATGCTGAGGAGAATGCAGAGAGCAAACGGGAAGGTAAGCCTTTTCCTTGTCCTGCATGCTTTGCTGACTGTGTATGTGCGTGTGTGTATACACACACACACACGCCCCCTGCCAACTGCCATGGCTCTGCAGAAGAAGGAACACAAGCATCACGGCTGTGCTGCAAGGCCAGGTCACCTTGCCTCGATGTCATCTTGGAGCATGTAATCTGAGGCTGCAGCCACCTGGGCACTGCAATCCAATCACTTCTCTAAACCGATGGTGCAAGCCCTCCCACGTCCAGGAGAAAACAATCAAGCCCTGCCAAGGCCTCTGCTTGTCATGGAAAGAATGCCAAGACTGCTCTTGCTTTAGAAGGGAGCATGGCTGCTCCACTGCAAATAGATTCCCCCGGCTAGTCAAAAGACGTCGCTTCTCCCCACATCTAAGGATGAAACAGGTACCACAAAGCCAGTCCTTCCAGAAGTCCTCAAGGTCATGTGTTTTGACAATACTGTGCAGGTCTGAGACCACAGGGACGGGCTTCCTAGGAACAGATGTTCACTCTGTCCACTTTTCTCTATATGTAAGCTTCGAATATGGATGAGGCTCTTTGCAGACTTCCCCCGTGTCCTTCATCCTCCTAGTCTTCCAACTTCTCTCGGCAGTCTCCTCTTGAGGACAATGCCCAAACCATCTGGATGTCTTTTAATACTATTTCTGGGTAATCTACACCCTTAATAGCAATCATTTGTACCTCTGTACCCCCAGGAGCATATCGTGGCTAATGTCTCCATATGTTACCGGCAAGGGATCGCTGGTTCTTATTTGTTTGCAGAGAAAGCAGTGCAGCTTTTACAACGGGGGAACTTTCTGGAGCTATGAAATGGATACTGGGACTATTCTGAACGAAGTACAGATAGAGCTCTTATTTGGAACACTGTAGTGTCCTGTGGAGCACTCCTACTATGGAATGGGTGGGGTCCTCTTTAAAGCAAAGCATACCTCACAAGCAAAGGGCACATGTAGTAGTGAGAGGAGGGAGGGAGGTTGAGAGCGAGAGGTTGCATGGCTGGCGTGAACCCCATACAGAAGAGGTTGACTGGCTGCTGTCTCCTTAACAAAAACAGAACACTATCAGCAGAAGGGAAATCTTTTTTAAAAAAAAATACTTAAAACTACAGCATAGGGAATTCTAATTCCCCAAATGACAGCAGCGATCACAGTACATGAGAGTTTAGAAGTACTGTATAATTGTCTAGATAGCAAAAATTCTTAGGCAAGGCTGGCGACTTCTTTGAGACTGTGGGACCCCTTCTTTCCTCGTACCAAGACTGGCACAGCAGTTAAAGGGACAGCACCTTAAACAAGCACAGCGTGCCATGGCCTTCCTGCTGAGCAACAGCACCTGTTTCCTACTGGCCGTTTATTTGTTTGTTCGTTTGTTTATTTATTATCCCACTCCCATTAGTGCCAAGGCACTACTCTGGGTGGTTGCAACCAATGTGATACAAAACCAAAAAATAAAGATAAACACATTAAAACCAGTTTGCAAATAACCCTTAAAATCGGATGATTCAGGCCAGTCATATAAGAACCAGAGTGGACAGGGGCGGGGAAGAGTAATTAGCTAGGATTGGTGTGGGCTGACTTGCATATGACATGGCTATGGACATGATTTCCAGGCAAAGCTGAGTCTCAGCCTCTCTCATTTAAAGTTGGAGCCATTCTACATGGTGCGCAGTCTGAAATCTGTCCCGGTTTTTAAGGGAGCTGTATCAGTTTATGGATGGATTAGCTATGACTTTTCCTCCAGCGAATTCTGAGCATGGCTCTTCTCTCCATTGCATCCTCACCGCAGCCGTACAGGGCTTGCAGGGAATTGAACCTGGATCTCCCAAGTCCCCCTCCAGTTCTTTTAACCAGTGTACCCCACTGGTTTTTAGTTGTTAAAGTGAAATCCCTAGATAGCAAAGATTTTTGAAACCTTGAAATATTTGCTCCTGGTTCACCATCCTATCTCATTCAGTCTCTCAAAAGCCACACCTTTCTGCCCTTTTTGAAAATTGGCAGAGCTCATTATTTTGATCTCATGGGTTAGGCAGTGCCTTTATCGGCTCAGTGAGAAATTAAACATAAGGTGAGTGTATGAGTTCTCGAGAACTCTTCATCGGGCAATGTTATGAAACCTGGAGCTGAAGTGGGAAGTCCAACAACTAGGCTGGGTGTGATGCCCGTGGCTCATGCAGTCAGACGGCCAGAAGAATAAAATGGTGTTTTAGATTCTGCATGAGGGAGGGGAGAAGGGTATCCGTCTGTAGGCTCTTCATCTCCTTGAAGACCACGGCCTGACTTGCCCCTCTCACCAAATTTTTTGGTTGCCTTGCACAAGGCTAGGGACCTCTCGACTAGCCCTGGAACAGTAAAATACAAAGTTGGTGTCAGTGTTTACATTTTTTTTTAAAAAAAAGTATGTATTGCATGAGGTTCAAAGTCGGTTACAGCCAAACTCGTAGTCGTATCTAGTGGTCAGAAGAGATGGAATCCTCATTGGAGTCTCATGGAAAAGTCACTTTTTGTCACAGTAGAATTTGTCCCGGGTCGTTCATGGTGATATTTTCAAAAGCAGATTATTAAAACAAAAACAGAAACAAACAAAAACACAGCGTGAACTCTTCATAAAGATTCTGGGTTTGGCAGAACTTTCATTGGATCACAGAAGCATTACAAATGAGTGTGTACTTTCAGCTTCTCTTGTTTGTAAGCTAGTGGGATGTTCCTGCTAAAAAGCTGTGTTTCTGTTGGTGAATTGCTGATTTAAATGCTGACCCTTATGACACTTATTTTGAGCCACTATATTTTCCTGAAGTGCTACAAAGCTGAAACTGTATATTTTCCTGCACTCCCAGGAGGAAGGCTCGAGGCACCATTCAACAGCAAAATGTCTCTTAAACATACCTAGGCCAAATGAAGGCGTGCCTTGCCGGTACCAGTCACAAACCACAACCGGGCAGCCTTGTCTGTCTACAAATACATGTGGCGCTCTGGGTCTGTACTTACTGCTCTCTGTGAGGCAAGCAAGTTTCATCCTCAGTTCTGATGTATCTGCTTCTCCTCCTCCAGGAGATGCACTTAAATAATTGGGACAAAGTAACTGGAACTTAAGAACACAGAAGTCAGGAATGTGAGCTCAGTATTTGTCCTCTGAAGATGCCGGCCACAGAGACTGGCGAAACGTTAGGAAGAACAACCTTCAGAACACGGCCAAAGAGCCCGAAAAACTCACAACAACCCTCAGTGTTTGAATTAGGTTGGAGTGGGACTGTGGCTGCTCACATCTGTGATGTGGGTCACGGTTCATTCCCGTAGGCAGATCCTGAGACTGAGTAGGCAGTTTGACCGCAGGTGAGCAAGAGGGGTGCCTGCCATGGCTCAAAGCCAGTTTAGTCATGTGGAGAAAAGAACACCAGAGACAAGGGATTAGCTGGTACTTGGCAGCACACTGGGAGAGCAGTGGCTCGCCCTCTTGTCTCTCGTGGTCTTTTCTCCACATGGAGAATGACATGTCTGAAGAGAAGGGCCCTGCTTGCTCTGCACACGGCCAAGGATACGTGAGGGGTTTTGCTCACACGGAAAGTGTACATGAGAGCAGGAGCCTCTCTTCTTCAGACGCATCACTGCCCATGTGGAGAAAGCAACGGTGAAGAAGGGAGCGGCAGACCACTCTTCCACAAGCATGTTGCCAAGAGCCCAGGTATGCAGTGACAGAAAAGCACTTCAGATTGCCCTTGTTCTTTCCTTGCCCTCGAGCCAGATGCAGGTTGGCCAGAGTACATTCATCTCCAGTGAACAGGGAGGTAAGTTGTCTTCCCTCTAATCAAGAAAGGGGTTACCAGGCAGCTCACAAACAGCCAGGATTTGAATCGCAAAGGTTGCTCTAGGGGGCAACTATCTGGAGAAGACCTGGAACTCTATTTGAGAGGAATGTGGAGAAGCTACCTTTTACACTATAGCTTCCCAAAGAAAACCGTGTCTTCTTACATTCTAAGGAGTAGCAGCTCTCCTGTCATGCTACTTCCTCTAGAATTTTTCCCTATTGGGTTGCTGCATTTCAGTGGAAAATTACTTTTGCAATAGATATATACAGAGCACACAACACTGCCCATCTCTTTCCATCTGGGCTTCCCGCGTCATCTCCTTGTAGGGCTTTGCTTGGTATAACAAACAAAGGTACGGTTTCACAATGTCTTCCTTCCTTCTGCTTCACAATGGGATTGGAACAGCCAAGATTAGGAAGCCAGTTTCAGGCAGGAATGGAGTGAAAGAAAACGCAACTCTTAATCTCCAGGGTCTAGATTTATGAGGAGCGATATAGTGTATATGATGGTGTTAGTAGAAAAGAACATTGTGCATTCTCTGTCTGAATTTATTGCAGGTACTGTGTTCCTCCCCATTTCCATGGCCAGACCACAGATTAGGCCTATCATTTTGGAATCTCTTGAGATTCCTTCAGTTCCTTCACAGTTCCCAGACATCTTTATCTGTGTATGCCTGAAACACCTTCCTTTTAAAGAACAGCCACAATAGGTTTACAAGTCCTTCTCGTTTCAAATGTCACAACATTCATTCCCTGAATCTTTGCCTGCTTTTAGCTTTATGCTTTGCTAGGGCTGGCAGCTTTTATTGATCAGAACTTGGCTTTTCTTTGGAAAGAGCTATCCCTTCCTATTTAAAATGCATTGTTTGCTGTTCCTCTTGAAAGCACAGACATGAGACTCAACAAAGCTAGAATAGCAATACTTTCCAGCTAAGTCTTCCCAGAAGGTACTGGGTTTCTTGTGGCCAAAGGTAAATATTAGGTACCACAATGAGTCGTTCCCTCAGTATAAGAGAAATGTAAAAGTGTTGGGGCCTTTCTTTCTGACCCCTTGGAGGGAAGATACACAAGGTACAATTTTGGTGCATTCATCCTCATCTTATTTCCCCATTTTCTCCCCCCTGCCCCGCCTTTCTTCTTATTCTAGAAGATGGGAAGAAGAAGCTCCTGGACCATGCAGTCTTATTGCAAGTCATTAAAGAACAGCAGGTTCAGCAGAAGCAGCTCTTAGACCAGCAGGCAAAGCTGCTGGCAGTGATTGAGGAACAGCACAAGGAGATCCACCAGCAGAGGCAAGAGGATGGAGGTGAAGAAAAGATGCAGCAAGGTACCAACTGGGTAGAGGGCTTAAGCAGGCACTGTGAGAAGATGGGGCCTGTGGGTGAAGCTGTGACTGTGCCCACATCTTCAGCTTTAGTCTCTAGACTGTTGTGGGCGAGCTCCTTGCTCTCCTTTCTCTCTAGTGCTATAAAGCTATCTTCATTCTGGAAGGCAGAGCTGTATGTTGCTTCATGGCTGTGAAAGCTCCAGCTCCTGGGTGATTTGGAAAGTGCACAGATATAGAAGAAATGGAGGGAAGGAGACAGTGAAGTTTGTGGTTATCCAGAATTGCAGGAAGCTTAAAACAGGATTTCCTGCTTACTTCATTTATGTCATACTTATGGTTTCAGAACTATTTCAGTAACCATGACAGTCAGGTAAGTATTCTGCTGGGCAGAAGGGAGAAGCTGGCACAACCCTTTGAGAGTCTTGTGTGTAAACTCCTCGGTTATTGGTAGATCTCCCCTTTGCTGTCATAAACAATAACTGAATGCTCTCCGCTTCTCTTTGCAACAGAAGTACACCAGGAGCCTGATCTGCCTTTTGCCAAGAGTAAGGAACGAGAGGAAGCTGTTGAAAGTAAACTTGAAGATGCTGCAAAGAATGTAGCTAAGGATAGACCAGATAATCCACTACATGTGCTTGACAATCAACCCCTAGACTCTGATTGGCAGAAAAAGCAAGCCATGGTTCAAGGAGAGCAGCAAAATATGAACAGCATATTAACAAGAGCTCCCCCTAAAAATCCTGCAGCTCATGTAAATGAGGGTGAGAAAATAGCACAGCACCAATCTGTGAAAAACCAGGCAGATAAGTTAGTGGAGCCAATTAGAAGCAATTCACAGATAGTTCGGGCTGAAAGACAACAGCAAGAAAAGCTGGCAAAGAATGAGAAACTAAAAGAAGGCCAGGATACTGAGGTGGCACAAAATGCCCAGGAAAAAATTAAGAATGTTCTGGAAAGAGCAAAGGTTGTGGAAGGAGGCGAAGGCCGAAGAGAGGAATCTGATGCAGCTAACAGCCATGTAGATGCTGAGAGGAGTCCTCCGAGGGTCCTTGAGAGAGTCCCATTTGCCCAAGAGGCTAAGAAAGAAGAGACCCACCATAAAGAGCAGCAAGAAGATCCTTCACATAAAGCAAAGGCTGATGGGAAGATACAAGAGAATTTTGCAGTCCAAGAAGCTATGAAGCCTGACAAAGTTGAGAAGAAGCAATCCTTGCCTTTGGACCCGGTTGATGGCGTGCAGGGCCAAGGGGACAGCAGTAGAGAGAAGATGGCAGCTGAAGCTCCCAACGCACAGGTGATTCATGCTAATAAGCCACGGCTGGATTCACAGGGAGAGCCAAAGGAGCCAGAGAAAATACGGGGGTCTGAGAGTGACCCTGTTGTGAAGCTGGAGCAGATGCCTGCCCAGAGAGACCAAGAAAATGCTAAACCCAATAGAGACCTCAAGCTGCAAGCTGATCTGGATTTGCGCCGCAAGAGGCGAGACCTGGAGGAGGAGGAAGAAGGAGGGCCAGGAGGTGTGATAATTGGCCTTAATCCCCTCCCAGATGTGAAAGTGAATGACCTACGGAGTGCACTGGAGACTCGGTTAAATCAGGCAGCAGAAGGTGTTCAGCAAGCTCTTCATAGTCGGCAGATTAAACAGATCACAGAGGAAGAGGTGTGACAGAGCGCAGACCATAGGACCATTGGGAACCAGTGTAAGAGGCTGCCAGCAATTTGGGGAAGAGCCTTATTGACCTAATTGCAATTATGTAACTTTGGGTAGTCCAGATCCAGTGGGTGCTGATGCCTGGGGATATATGTTGAGCTGCATATGCTCTAGGAGGAGGTTGAAGCCCCAGTGCTGCCAGCCAGTTTCATACTTCAGTGCTGTAACACACGGTTTCTTCTCCTTGTACTGGTGCCTAACCTGCGACAACCAGTTCACCCAGCCTCCAGGTTCTGGATAGTGTGTTACGCCTGCCACATTTCCAAAGAAGCATTTGCATTTTATTCTTACTCAGTTGCCTTGAAATTACTTGCTTTAGTTTCTGTGTTTGAAGTTGGAATCTGTTCTCATGCTTTGTTATCTGATCTGGTTGGAAGCTGCCTCTCTGTGTTTGTGTGTGTTCTTAACCCTTATATTAATGCTGGATTCTTGTTTTGCTCTGTCTATCCTCTGGGGATTGGGTACATCTGACTTCAGAAATGGTAGCAAGAGGGTGAAAGAATTTCCACTAAGTGTTCAATATGGGAAGACATTCCATGCTAGGGATAAATTCTTGAGAATGCAGGGATAGTTAGTATTGAATGCATTCTTAAACAGAGCCAAGCTGCTGTTTTGATCTTCAGTCACAGGCGCACATTAGCAATAATAAAGACTCATCCTGCCTTTGTTCCTCTTGGCTATAAAAGCCTAGGTTTATGCTTCTAAACCATTCCTATCTCAAGTGCATCCTAGAACTATACTGTACTTGAAAACTCTACCCATCACTTGCTGCAAGAGGAAGCAACGCTAGAAGGTCAAATGAAGGAATTTCAAGGAGGCATTACCCATGTAGGACAGCTTGCATCTACCTCTTTTCTCCTCTTGGCAAGTGTGTGCATCATTTAACCGTTTTTTCAGATGTGTGCAAAAGCATGTAGTTCAGATTTATGAGTTGCAGTTTGCATGCTTCCTTGGTCAGAGTTGCTTTGTTTCAGGCCATCTGATGGGGTTTGAATCTTTTCCCATTAACAACTGGTATGGCAAAGCAAAGACCCCTTTGACTCTTGACTGCAACTGTCATTCAGAGGTATTTCTGTTAAAGATTCTCCAGGCTGCAAAAATAATGGAATTTGGTACAGTGAGAGCCTTTTGCTGGAAAGGCAGAAATGTATGAGCCTGTAAACTCACCCCTTCTTTCATATCAGTCCATATTGAGAACTTGTTGGATCAGAAAACAGAAATGGTGTAGTACTGAATAAGCTTCTGGGGTAACCTCCTCAATGGTGTGTGTATCTCACATGTTTTTGGACTGCAGCTCCCAAAATCCACATTGAGGAAGATTAGAGTTCTGGTCCCAGCATATCTGAGGGCTGGACAAGTGGGAAAGGTGCCTGGAAGCGCTAGCCCATCCTGTTAAATGGAACAGAGTGGAATGCTGTTTCTGCCATATCTTGCCTACAAAATGTGTTTGAAAGTATCTCTACTCCAAGAAGACAGACAAATGTGGCTGGTTCCACTTGCCTGCTTTGATGGGCATGTTTGCCTTGGCACACAGAAGACTGTCGCTATAGCCTTAATCTTTAAGAGCCTTGTGAACCTGCTTTGCACATCACCCTATGCCCGAGGCTAATGTGGCAAGAAAAGGCCACTGGGAGCCTTGGTCTTGGACATGCTCCTCACTTCAGAACAATAGACAGGAGCTCAGGAGCTTCTCTTCTGTTTTGGCATAACTGCAACTTGTCATGTCGTCCAAATCAGCAAATTGTTGGTTAGTGTTATCTATGGTTGGTTTGAAACAAACCTTAACATTAAGCAATAGTTTGTTGGTTCAGATAACAAGTGGCTAAGCAAGAACTGATACCAAAGCTGCTGTGCTTTCTGTGTGTCACTCAAGAGGAGACTCTGTGAGTCCAAAACTCATTGCAACTCATCAAGTAAAACAATGGTGTCATACATCTGTTCTCGATTTGGGTTGGACTGCAACTCCCAGCTTGATTTTGGACACAGATGATGGGGAAGGGGTCCCGCCACATCTAGTTTGGGGAAAGATGGGGGCAGCATGTTATTGAGTGGTGCTGTTCAAAACACAGTGAACCTACAACTAAAGTTACGATCACTTTAGTCCCAAAATAAACACAACTTTGTCATGCAGTCTGTGCTTTATTTTTTAAAAAAACAAAATTGTTTTAATATGTAAAATGGTTGTGGAGGTTATCAGCTGAATGCCATGTCAATCTTTTCTTGACCAAGAGTGGTGTGACTAAGCCCTGTAACCAAAGAAACATCTGACATCCCTCCGTAGAACAATGGGTTGTTTTTTTTTAAAAAAGCCATCACCAAGACAATGTGGAGGAGGAGATAACAAGGAGACGGTACTCCTGAGCTGGAATGCCTCCCTTGTGCCACAGGACAGGTTCAGATGTTGTATGCTGCTGACAAGTGGCAGCTGGTAGATCCAAGCTGCACAAACTAATAAATTCAAGCATTGGAGGCCTTTTTTCCTCTTGTTATAAGTAGTTTCCTCCTATTGCACAGAATACATTAGTCATAAATCTGCAGGCATCTTTAAAGGATTGTATTTTTGTCTCTTTTTGATCCCAGCCTCCTTTCTAGTTGCTGTATTCCCTTCTGATCTCAGACCCCACCCATACAGCCACCAAATCAGAAAGGGGAGCATAAATCTGTGGGAATCTAGTGAATGATTCAGTGATGATCTTACTAAGTACCCAGGGGAAAATTACTTGCATCCATCCAGATCTACTGCTCATACTTCACATACAATGTAAGTAAATCACATTGTGAGGTGCTACTAGTGATTATACACTCACATCCTTTAAAAGATATTTACAAGGCTGTGACATGACACATCAGATGCATCCACTCTCATAAAAAATGTCTAAAGATGCAGCATTCCACAAGACAAGTCCCACTCCAAATACCTGTTTAGTTGATCCTTGACTCTAGATTTTAGCAGTGTCCTACAGTTCACTTAAGGGACTTGGCCACTCTGTGGCCTTCTGACAAAGATGAAGCACTGGCTTTCTTGGGTCAGAAGGAACCACAGCACTGCACCACCAACAGCTTGGACAAGCTCCCAAGCTATTCTGTAACCTTGGCCTATAAAACTTCTTTTTCCTTAGGCATTTTCACTGATTAGTTTTTTCTCCCCAAAGCTTCAATTAGGAAATCCATGTTCAGAAGGGAAATCAGGCATTCAAAATTGCGGACTCCTCTACACGGCAGGGTTCAAGATATATATTATTTTTACATGCCACAGCTGAATTAATATTCTTACACAAATTAATCAGGACTTTTAGGGAGTTCCAACACTCTGGGCCTTCCTTTTCCTCTGTTCCAAATCTTCATGAATTGAAATTAACATTGTCAGCCCACTTCAGCAGCGTTCTAGCGGTGCTGCCCAACTTTGCATGTTGTCCTTGGAAGCAGAGAGGAAATGTGTAAACCCTCAGGGCAAAAACTGACATTAAGTCTTGCTGCCAGAATGCCACAGATGTTTATCCTAGGGAAAGGGAGAGGTGACGTCTGGTTCACCATCCCTACATTTTGCTAAAGAGCAAAGATAACAAAGGTAAGAGCAAGTGCCCCTTGCTCATGCCTCTTTATCTTACAGCGCTTTTATCAGTATCTGAGTATAATGGAGATTCTCCCCTTAATGCAAAAGACTGGATTAAATGAGCTGCCACGGACATTCCATTAGTATATTTCCATTCTGTGTAGTAGTCCTTTGGTCTCTTGCACCTTCCTCCACGCCGCAGAAATTTAACTGATGGGCATAAACCACATTTAAGTAGAAACTCACAGGCATGGAACCTTAGCTTTAAAAAATCTGGTTTCCCGCCAGTTCTTGTTCATATACATAATTTAGAAATATACAGTTCTGTGTGTCTTTGAGCTATACACACTTCAGAGCTTTCTCATAAAATATGACAGACGAATCAAGCCCTTGATATTTCTGTGCAAAAATAAAAAATAAATCAGGATGGTGTCGGTGTTTGACTTCCAAGGCTTTACTTGACTTTCTTCTTTGCCTATAAAGGAAGATCAGTCCGCATGAGTCAGTATTAGGATTCCTTTGCCAAGAGGGTAATCAGTCTACTTAAACAAGAAAGATAGGGGCACCTTGTAAGAGATCCCTTGTGTTATTGGAATTCATATCACTGGCTGAAATCCCGCTGTTTAGCATAGTCACACTAGAGTAGGCCAATCAAATCAGTGGGGATTCGATGAGTCAACTCCTCCAAGTTCCATTGATCCAAATGGGCCTGCTCTGCTTGTGACTTACTTCACTAAGCAATGGGAATTCAGCCACTGACTAAAAATATGTCAATATTATTAATTTAGTTGGTTTATTTATATCCTGCCTTTCTCCCAATGAAGGGATTCATGTGGCATACAGTAGTTTAAAAGATACATATTTAAAATCACAATAGAGTATTTGTATTAAAATATAATTACACTTATAACGTTAAAGGCATCACTAGTTAAAACTGATTAAAATAAATTTAAAACATGGTAAAGGCTGCAGAAAATGCTGCATCCCCCCACTAAAAACTCTGTTCCTGCCAGGGCATCCACAAATCAAAAGCCAGTTTAAAAATGAAGGTTTTCACCAGTCTGAAAGGACAGCAAGGATGGGCCAACCTAGCCTCCATTGACTGGGGAAGCCTTATGAAGTCACTACCTAATGTTTCTGCAAGAGCAGTGGGATTGAAAGAAGGCCCTCTGCTGAAGATCTCGGAGATCGAGGACGGCTTTATTAGGAGATAATATGCTTCAAATAGCTTGGACCCAAATCACAGAGAGGCTTATAAATCCTTTATTAGGACTATACAAACAAGGTGTCAAGGAAGTTTATATAATCCCAGTGAATGGCTCCAGTCAGCAGTCCAGCTGCAGGCATTTTGAACCAACTGCTGAAGTCCCCAAACCAATGTTTTTTAAAATTTTATTTATATGCCGCATTTAGCTCCAAATGTAGAAAGCATTATAACAATCCAAAAACAATGTGACTAAGGCATATGTCACTGTAGTCAAGTCAAGCATTTTCAGGAATCAGCATAGATGCTCAGCTTTAACTGTACAAATGAAATCCTTGTTGTTGTTTAGTTGTTCCAGTGCCCCCCGGAGTTGGGTCAAAGAATGAAATCCTAGCCACCACCAAAACCTGGGCATCCAGATTCAGGGATAAATCCAGGAATTCAGTTTTTTTGTCCTCATCCAATCCATTACAAATATCAGGCACTGCTTAGAGCCAAGATAGCATCCTTGGAATTAGAAAGGAGAGTTTGCTGTCATCAGCATATTATAGCCCAAAACTCTGGAGCTCTTCTAGCAGTTTGTAAATGTTAAATAGCATAGGGGGCAAAACAGAACCCTAAAGGATGCCTCAGGGCAAAGGCTAATGTGTATTCTCGAAGGCTTTCACGGCCGGGATCTGATGGCTGTTGTGGGTTTTTCAGGCTCTTTGCCATGTTCTGACGGTTGTTCTTCCTAACATTTCGCCAGTCTGTGGCCGGCATCTGATCAGCTAACGGCACCATCAATCACAGTGACAGATAAAATCTCCCCCTTATCACAATATACCCACAACAAAAACACACTGATCACCACAATCACCCATCCCCTGAAAAGGACAAAAGTTGATCCCACAGTTATAAATACTCAACTATTGAAAGAAACTGCACCAGAGCACAGAGTTCTGACTCCTGTCCTCTGAAAATGCAGGCCACAGAGACTGGTGAAATGCTAGGAAAAACAATCTTCAGAACATGGCCAAAGAGCCCAAAAAACTCACAACAACCAAAGGCTAGTGTGTTGAGCAAGAATCCCTCAGTATCACCTTCTGAGTTCTCCCCTCCAGGAAGAATCAGAACCACACCAAGAATCAGAACCACACACAGAACCCAGTGAGGCAGCCCAGAAGGATACCATGGTCAGTTGTATCAAATGCTCCTGAAAGAGCCAGCAGAACCAACAGGGACACACACCTCCAGTCAATTTCCCAGTGCAGGTCATCTACCAAGGTGACCCAAAGGTGTCTCAGTCTCATAAACAGCTAAGGTTATGGGGCTGGAAACCTGGTTTTTCATAGAATTTATGTAATCTACTGTGTCTAATCAACAAGATGGAAGGGAAGAACTGTGGTGAACAATCTGGCATATGGCCAAATTTCCCTACCTTAAGAGTTTAAGGAGAAAAAAGGGGGAGAAAGCAACGCAACCACACACACAAAACAATAGCTTATGATAGTCAAGTAATGTTATGATGGTTTACTTTGGAATTTAAAAAAACACACCAAATGAAGAAGCTGAGCTTTTTATAAAAAAAACAAGAACAGTCTGAAAGCAACTCTCATTCTTCGGGGAAGAAAAATAGAAGTGACTCACAGCCTTTGTAAAGCAGTCCATCAGCATCTCAAATTCCTTCGCGCAAACATCCTTTTTCAGGTCCCTCTGACCTGCTGTATGGGAAGCAATGCACTTGCCATAGATGGAGGCCTGCAAACACCAATTCCAGTCAGATGCAGATAGTCGTGGGCTACTCTCTTACAGGTATCACATATTCAAGCTCCCTGATTTCTCATAATGAAAAGGTAACACTATTTTTTTATTTGCGCTCCCCGCTCACCCTAAGTTTTGCCCAGGAGGGCACCCCTCCTCCATGGTCACTATCTCCTCCCTGCAAAAAGGTCCTTGCAGGATAATCTGTACAGAGTACGGGCGGCTGTATTTCAACATCTAGTAGAGAGCAGTCACGCCGAGAGATGCAGAGGAGGAGGACGGGTAGAGGGTACAAAGTTGCACCAAAAAGGTCAGAAACCTGAATGAAGGGGCGGGCGGCAGTAAGAGAGCGTCGGAGGCCGCCGTATATAAATAAGGCCAGAAGGAGATCTTGTTCCCATGATCACCTGGACCTGCCCTTACCTGCTCCCCACAACTCTCCAGTAACTCTGGGAAACGATGCAATCTCTCCCGAACGCGCCCCCAGATGCCTCGGCTGGACATGGCATTGGAAAGCACGACACCAGCCCTTCCTAGTTTACCGGCTGGGCGCAGCCATGATGACCCGGCGAGTGCCCCCCCCGCCTCCTTCTCGCAGGCGTTCCTATTGGGCCAGCACGGTTCGCACCCGTTGATAGGACCGCGCCCCTCTTCGCCCAAGATTTCCGGCCTTCCAATTGCGTTCCCGATCCAGAAAAAAAACCTTCCGATTGGATAGGAGGCGGGAGCTTCTTCTCCTTCGTTCCCGCCTTTTCTCCAGTGGCGTCCAAATGTGACAGCTACTTCCTATTTCCTGAGGAGGTGATTGGCTACTCTTTACAGGATCAATGTTCGATTGGACTAGCTGTGTTCTGAAAGGCGGAGCAATGAAGTCCACGGTTGGGATCGGAAATAATTATGGCGGCGGCGGCGGCACCTTTGCGGGACCGGCTGAGCTTCTTGAGTCGGGTATATATTAACTAATGCGATGCTGAATCGGGGAGGGGAGGTAGTTCGCTGTTACCTGGACTTTGCGAGAGGTCAGGTTGACCTCTCTGGCCCTAGGATCTTTGTAAGGAGAGCCGGCTGGCAGGCTCCGATCCTTTGGACAGCCCAATCCTTTAGGAACGTCTATGGGGCCTTGCAGGATAAGGGCCGGTTTGTACCTGCGGGGAAAAGAGGAGTTTCCCAGCTGAGGGAGTAGGTTTTCGTATGTTTGACTACTGCTCCTCTGAAATTTATTTATTTTTATTTATTTAATTAATTTCTATGCCGCCCAATCTACCCAGAGGTCTCTGGGCGGCTCACAACAATTAAAGTTCAATACAATAAAAGATAAAATGATTAAAATACAATTAAAATTGTCATCATCAGAAATCTCCAGAAACAAGATATATTTGCCTGATGTGGCAGTCCTTGCTGTGGGGATTTTGAAAGAGGTAGTTATATTTTTCTGCTTTAGCATGCAGAGAAAAGCTGAAGTCTATTGGCACCTTAAGGACAAATAAATGTACAGTACTGTATTTAAATGTGAGGGTGGTTGATTGGGTTTGGGTAAATTACAGTCCCCTTCCACAAATATTTCCTCAGAACATGTCTCCAAGGATCATAATCCATAAGAACTCACATTGAAATCAATCTGTTTATCTTTCGGGTGCAACAAGACTTTGTGTTGCACAAGATAGGGATTGGTTGTTTATTTATTCATTTAAAATATTTTAACCTCACCTGTCTCCTTAAAAAGAACCCAAGGCAACCTACATAATTAAAAACACAATATTAAAAGATTAAACAGTTTGTTCTTCAAATATTTTTAAAAGAATTAATTATGTTATATTAAAAATGTTACTAAAACAGATCTATATTATGAAAGTTAATGATTTGGCCATACCTGCTACAGCAGATGTAGTCACTAAGGGTGAGGGTGCACAAAAGCTTCAGAAGGATTATGACAATTGCAATCTGGTTTCCATTCAAGTGGCTCTGTCTTATTTATATCCATTGTTGCTGTAGTGCCACATGGTCAATGTTGTTGTTTAGTTGTTAAGTTGTGTCTGACTTTTCGTGACCCCGTGGACCAGAGCATGCCAGGCCCTCTTGTCTTCCAGTGCATCCCAGAGTTTGGTCGAATTCATGTTGGTAGCTTCGATGACACTGCCCAGCCATCTCGTCCTCTGTTATCCGCTTCTCCTCTTGCCGTCGCACTTTCCCAATATCAGGGTCTTTTCCAGGGAGTCTCCTCTTCTCATGAGATGGACAAAGTATTGGAGCCTCAGCTTCAGGATCTGTCCTTCCAGTAAGCACTCAGAGTTGATTTCCTTCAGAATAGATAGGTTTGTTCTCCTTGCAGTCCAGGGGACTCTCAAGAGTCTCCTCCAGCACCACAATTCAAAAGCATCAATTCTTTGGCAGTCAGCCTTCTTTATGGTCCAGCTCTCACATCCATACATCGCTGCTTGAAAAACTATAGCTTTGACTATGCGGACCATTGTTGGCAAGGTGAGGTCTCTGCTTTTTAAGATGCTGTCTAGGTTTGTCATCACTTTCCTCCCAAGAAGCAGGCGTCTTTTAATTTTGTGGCTGTTGTCACCATCCGCAGTGATCATGGAGCCCAAGAAAGTCACTGCCTCCATATCTTCCCCTTCTATTTGTCAGGAGGTGATGGGGCCAGTGTCCATGATCTTATCTTTTTTATGTTGAGCTTCAGACCATTTTTGCACTCTCCTCTTTCACCCTCATTAAGAGGTTCTTTAATTTCTCCTCACTTTCTGCCATCAGAGTGGTATCATCTGCATATCTGAGGTTGTTGATATTTTTTCTGGCAATCTTAATTCCGGCTTGGGATTCTCCAGTCCAGCCTTTTGCATTATGTATTCTGCATATGTTAAATAAGCAGGGAGACAATATACAGTCTTGTCGTACTCTTTTCCCAATTTTGAACCAATCAGTTTTTCTATATCCAGTTCTAACTGCTGCTTCCTATCCCACATACAGTATAGATTTCTCAGGAGGTAGATAAGGCGATCAGGTACTCCCCTTTCTTTAAGAGCTTGCCATAATTTCCTGTGGTCAACACAGCCAAAGGCTTTTGCGTAGTCAATGAAGCAGAAGTAGATGTTTTTCTGGAACTCTATGGCTTTCTCCATAATCCAGCGCATGTTAGCAATTTGGTCTCTACTTCCTCAAAACTCAAAGCTGGTGGCAACCCAGCAACTCCACAATGGGTAGAGTGCATAATTTGCACACTGATTTAAGCAGTCTCTATATCATGGAATGACAACTACCTTCAAAAGCAAGTCTTACCAGCTCCCCAATAAGCAGAGATAACTCTGACTTGTGTTAGTAGTATGTAGGGCATTCTGATGAATTAGATCAGGTCTACTTGTCCCTAGTTCTGACCTTCATTGTAGGTTAGCCACTTGGAAGCAAAGGGGAATTGGTTGATGTGTCTGTCACCAGATATCTGTACATCAGTCACAGCTCTCTTCTCTTTCTTTTTGGGCAGAGTATATGGGGGCTTCCATCTGTGAGCTGCATCAGGGGGATTGTGGGGTAAAAAAGAGAGACTTCCTTTTCTTCAGCTGCATTATGTATCGGTGGATCAGGGATGAAGGGCAGAAGCAGAAAGAGCAACCATTGCCTTTTCAGAGCATATTATAATCTGTGAGAAGGGATGATTTCAGATTAAGTTTTTTAATGCAATTGTCTGTGTATAGGGCAACTGTATAAAATTTCTTGGGGGTGCATGCGTGTGTGCATAGGTGTATGCAGACAATATTGTCTTCTACTTTAACCCTCCAACATTTGGCCATGGCTTCCTCAGTCTCCCTATTCCTCCATGACCAAAAAAGAAAACAAAACATATTAAACTAGAAAATATTAAATCGATGAAAAATGTTTTTTTATTATTAGTAGTAAAGAAAAGAAAAGTGTGCTGCTTATATATCGCCCCATAGTGCTTAAAGTATTCTCTCGGTGCTTTGCCTCCTCCCCAGCCAGCTGGGTACTCAGTTTATCAACTTCAGAAGGGTGGAAGGCTGAGTCAACCTTGAGCCCATCAGGATCAAACTCAGGTCATGACTAGAGTCTTTGCTACAGTACTGCAGTCAAGGTTCCCTCTAAGCTGGGCATGCACGTGTGTGCACACACCTCTGCCTCCCTCTGCACAGTTATTTTTGCCCTTCACACCTTGGGCTCCGGTTGCGATGGAACCCACTGTGTGTGTTGGGGGGGGGGTAGAGTCATGCGCACAGAAGAAAAGTTGTGCATGAGAGAGGTGGAGCTGAAAGTTAGAGGGTCTATTTTTGTCCTTCACGCAGTGATTGCCTTGGGTTCCGGTTGCGACGGAACCCAGTGGGGGGGCAGAGTCATGTGCACAGGAGAAAAGTTGTGCGTGAGAGAGGTGGAGCTGAAAGTTAGAGGGTACATTGACTGCAGTTTAACCACTGTGCCATGAGGTCATCAGTACTAGGGCCTTTTGGTTCAGAACCATTCTAAATAAACATCCTTTGTTGTGTTTGTGTTTTTCAGCTACCCACTTTACTCAAGGCTACATCAGATGATGAAGTTCCATGCCCAGGATATCTGTTTGAAGAGGTTGCAAGTATCCTTTCATTTATGAAAAAGCTGAGAACTATTTGTATACAAGTGTCAGTCAGTATACAGTCAGGATCTTCTTTTGTTTGCCATGTCACTCACTTTTCCTAAGAAGAACAAAGGCTAGTAATTGGAACACAGGATTGCATTTGGTGATCGGGATCAGATTCATATGGCTCCAGTTAAATAGCTTAAGCAGCTTCTCTGGTCAGGTGACGTGATACAAAATCTCAGAAACAGAAGTAAGAATGGTGTTTACAAGGCTAGCTGGGTTGCTGTAACAGGAATGGCACTGAGACTGGGAGGGGAGAAGACCATCAGCAGGCCGCTCTCAGATTCCTTTCAGAAGCTGTCTCCCTGTGATCCATTGAGGCCTCCACAGCACCCTGATGAGCAGGAAGGAAGAGGCTGCAAGAAAGATATGGCAAAAGGAGAGAAAAATGTGGGCTTCCCTATCTTTGCCTCCAATTCTGTCCACTGGAAGCTTCAAAGCTACCCTACTGTGGGCACAGATTAATTATCCCCAAGGCAATGCAGATATCAACAAAAAGAAAGCTGGCCATCCTTGGCTTCAAAACCATGCATTTTTTCCAGCAATATTTATCCAAATGCTTCATGCCATTTCTGCAGTATTTCTTCTGCGTGTTAAAAATTCAAAATATATTTCTAGCAAGTAATCTTTGCTGCTCTATATATGAACACTCTAAAAAATAAAATAAAGCACTTCACTACTGAAGAATAAAAATACATTACAGAAAAGTTATTCTTCTGCTGATGACGATGAGCATATGTTGTGCCATAATGGTCAAAATCCTGTTAAGTAGCTATGCCTGTATAATTTGAAGTTGTGTGAGCCACTGTGAAATTTGCACCAAAATTAGAATTCTATCTAGAAAGCAGTTCAGCAGATACAATTTCGCAGTCAGCTGTGGTTCATTGCACCACTAGTTGTGCAATCAGAATGCAGGCTGTGTGGGCATAATCCCCCATTAACATTCTCAGGCATAATTTTACGCTACGCCAAGTCTCAAAGGATTTTAGCCAAGGTGTCACAAGCAACAGTGGAATTGTGGCATTGGGCACAATTTGGGGGGGGGGTGTGATATCTGGCCATCATACTCTGTGGATTCTTTAATTTGCATTTTCAGAAATTTCTCATGAGTCAGCAGGAAGCAGTTACTGTCTTCTTGAGTATTTTCTCAATCGCCTCCAGAACAATTCCTGCCATGTCAAGCTAAAGGTAAAATGTGGGTTTACAGAAGATGGTTCCAAACTGGGGTTGGTCCTCACAGTGTACACCCTTACATCTTCCCACCCCACCCGTCCTTCTCAAAATTAGATTTCTGATGCTTTCAGACCTCTGTTTATAATTTCAGCAAAGTTTATGCTGCATTTCCAGGTGCTCAAGATCCTGCTGCACATGTGCAGCCATGGTTCATCATACTTCCTTCTGCAGCTTAAGCGCAATTCTTCTTTCATCCAGGAAGCCACAGGTAGGCCGGAGGTGGAAGCAGCAACAACTGCATTAGTTATATTATTATTAAACAAGAATAACTACCATACATTCTGTCCTCGTAACACTAATAGGTACATAACATACATATTGCACTTCAGGGCATTCCTTGGCTGAAATCCTGTGACTTAGCATAGCAAATCATAACTAGAGGAAGCCCATTGAATCAGTGGGGATTTGGTGAGTCAGATCTTCTGTAACTTCCACTGATTCAATGGGCTCACTCTAGTTGCAATTTACTGTGCTAAGCCACAGGATGTCACCCCTTGTGTTGAAATTTGATCTCTGTGATCTTTATAAGGAAGTAGTACGGCAACATTATCTGTACATACTTTGCCTTATGTAGAGTCTGATATTGAGAGAATAGTGCTCTGCCTAAGGTGAAGTTGGAATACTTCCTCTCCCCCTTGATGTTGCAGTTCAATTCCTAACCATTGGCCATGCTGACTTATTTTGTGTGGCTGAAATTCAAATGTCTGGAGGGTCAAATGTTCTGCACCCCTAAGTAGATGCATTCCACAAGTTGAACGAGGGACTCTCTGGTTCATTGCTCAATTTCCAAGGCTGTAATCCTGTACCCACTTAACTGGGAGTAAGCCCCACTGAAATCAGTGGGACTCGTAGGATTGCACTATTGGCTGCTGTGCTAGATTGGAAGAAATGGAGAGAGAAATGAACCTCTTTTCTCTATCCAGAATGGCCATGAAGCCCATAGTTCCTCTCCAGGAGCACAGAAGAATCATCTGCTGAAATCCTGTTGCATAGCAACATAGTGGCAACACTCATGCTAAGCAACAGGCTTTCAACCATTGTGTTGTTGCCAACTCCAACATATGTTATTCTGCCAAGAAGACTGGCCTAATAGAAAAGCATAAGGTGAACCATTCTAGATTCTCAAATTCCTGGCAAGAAAGGCTTCTCATGGATCTTTGCTACAGATCTCCCTGTTTACTCAAAGTGACACGAGAGCCTATGCTGTGTGAAACTACCACTGAATTAAAAGCAATCATTAAACACCTCAGGAGAAAAGTTCCTTCTCTGCCATTTTATTGTGGAGATAAAGTGGGGAGAGGAGGAACTGTGTGCATGGCCTTGACTTTGGTGGGGGAAAGATGAGGGATAGGAATGTAATCATACTTTCCTGTGGTTCTATGAAGAAGCATCAGGTGATGGAAGTAGGGCCAGGTCATGTTGGGAAAAGGAATCCCTGCAGAGGAGCAGAGAATGTGGTGCCTCTTAATTAAATCTGCTTGGGGTTGCTGCTTTGTAGGCTGGCTTCCACACAGAGGGATGGCAGTGGAAGAAAGAAGAGAAGGTCATGCAGATGATCAGGGAGATTTAGCTGTCAGGTTTTCATAGATTCCTCCTGCTTCAGGCTGATGTGCATGCCCTGCCACTTGAAGGAAAACAGAAACCATCAAGGGTGAAATGCAATTCCCAGCCATTGCTTCTGCTGCATAGACCTTGGAGTGTGGATGCCTCTGTGTTGGCAGCAATCGTGATAGATGACTTTTTAAAAAAGTATTTTCTGTAATCCACTATGGTTCTTAGAAAAACAGATCTGCAGAAGAAAAACTGTTTTTACAGGATAACTATAATCAGTTTTTCTGAAATCCCAATAAATACGGAATTATATTTTTTTAGCACAGAACGGAATCAAATCAGATATTGTATATTAAAGATGAAATATGAACTACAGACCATTTTGCTCATAAACACTCATATCTACAGCAAATGCTGACATAAGTTATCATCAGGACAGTTATGAATACAGGTCCAGATTTTTTGCACTGCAAAAAATTCTTGGAACACTTCCCTTCTGAATTTTTCTTATTTTCTTCATGTAGTAAAACTACACTGGAACAGCTCACTCTGTTTATTGTCCTATGTCACCATATCATACACTACAAAATGTACCACAAGCTGCTGTTTTTCATCAATCTGTGTTGTTGTTTTGTTTGGACAAGTTCTCAATATCAAGATGACTGAGGCAGGAAAAAAAACTGCACCTGCTATGTCTGTTACGAGGGGAAGGCTGTGATTCAGCTACCTCTGTTGCTGTGATTCTTGGTTTGGGAGCTCAGTAAAGTAGCAAGATACAGGCGGCTTGGCTTCCTCATGGATGGTAAGGTTCCCAGGGATGAGCCCTTCAGCCTGTCTCACCCTCTTTTCCCTCCTCTGCCTTGCAGTGTTTGCAGGGCCGCCTGATCCTCTCCATGGCAACAGCTTGTATCAGAAGGTGCGGATGACTGCACAGGTGAGTGACGAAGAATCCCAGCCAGGAGGTGGGAACGGATTCTTAAAGCTTTGTGTGTGGAAGAGCTTTGGCCTGCAAACTTCCTTCTTCCTTTCCTTTCCAGGATTTGGCAAGTGCTTTGTTTTCAGATGCCCTGTTGCCCCAGCCTGCTACTCAGCCGTCCAAAGAACTGCCTTCAACAGGTGAAACAGCCAAGGAGGACAAAGACCTCACCTAGGGACAGATTCCTTTGATCACTGAAAATCTTGGGTAGATTGCATGTGTTTCTAAATAGCAGGAACTTTCAAGAATAGGCCCTTCTGCGGTATGTTTTGCTAATAACAAGGAAAAGCAGTAGTCAAAACAGCTTAGGCCTTCTAGCTCCATATACAACCCATGCCGATCTCCTCTTTTCACTGAATGAGAGTGGTGATAAAAGGACAAGACTGAAACATGTAGCACCACCCACCATGCTGTTTCCATTGCCCAACGAGGTTACTTGTTCACTTTTCTTCCTAGGAATGGGCTCCAAGTCCAGTCCCCATGGTTCACTCCAAGGCTTTGGTTTCGAAAGGAGCAGCTCCAGTAAGTATTGCGTTCAGGAACATGAGTGGTATCCCTCCTGCTCTTGAAGGGCTCCCCCTCCCCATACACCCTGTGGACAAGGACTTTGTGCTCCTTATATATAGCAGCCTCCTTGCCGCCAAGGCCTTCCTTGTACATTGGCTGAAGTCCAATAGTCAGTCACAACTGGAGCAGGTCCATTGACTCAGAGGAGTTGGCTCACTAAATCCCCACCAATTCAATGGCCCTGCTCTAGTTGCAAGGTGCTAGTGGATTTCAGCCACTAAGTTCTTAGCCTCTGCTCTCATGCTACGCAGTATCATCTGAAATCACTTATTTTGGCTTCAAACAATTTGAGCCATAAAGCAAGCTAAACACATTGGGAGAGGAAAATTGAGCAGTGAAGGGTACTGAAACAAGTGACTGGGATCCTTTTTTATTCCTCTGTTGGGGAAAGAACATGAGAGATAAGAACCACAGGGATCTGCTGAAAAAAAACAACAGTGGTTGTTCTTCTCTGAAAACCAGGGTCTTCAGTAATCAATCACACACCAGTATCTGGGTGCATCCAAGCCTGCTATGACCAGAAGCCCCTTAGGCCCTATTTTCATCCTTGTGGGGTAACTCCCTCTCTCTCCCGAATGAACGATATGCATACAGCTGATTCCTGTGACCTGGGTTTTTTCAGCGTCTGTAACCTAAAAGACCGCCATACTCAGTCGGAGCCTGGATAAACAAGCCTGCCTTTCTTCCTCTTTCAGCCTCCACTGGCAAGGTTCTGCTGGCCACCATCCAGAAGGCCGCTGAAGTGGTTGCCACCGCCATGCTTCCTGGGCAGCAACTGGCTAACCCCCATGGTAGGGAGCTGACAGGTGATGCCTACGAGCCAGTGATGGCACCTTCTCCTGGCAAACCTTCCACCTTGTCTACAAATCCATCTTCTGTCACAGCCCATAAGATGCGAGGTATGTTATGTCCTGTGGGTAAAGCTTATAGGTAGGAACAGAGACCATCCTGGCACTATTTGCTGTTTCAATAGGAGAATATTAAAAACCAGCCAACTCTGAAGAATAGGTGCTCAGGTGGCTGTGTTAACTGTACACGGCAGCCATCCAAAGAAAATCCTCCTTTTGGGTGCAGAAAGCATTCTGTAGTATTCTTTTACCTCAGGCATCCCTGGCCCAGAGATGTGAATGAGATGGATGAATGACTAAGTTGCAGAATGTAGATTTCTGAGTTTGGGGGTGGTGAATTTTTGCAGTGTTTCTGAACGTGATGTTTGAGGAAATGATGGCTTTCTTGTCCCCCATCCTCAGGTGGTTTCTTCCACATGGTCACTTTTCTTAAATTCTCTCACAGTGAACCATCAGCCAGGTCAAGCAGGAGGCGGGTGGGAGGAGTTGGACAATGGGCAAAGCTCCCAGAATTCCTTGCAGGAGAACAGCGAGTGGAGCAGGACTTCTGACTCCTACAGCAAGTCGGGCAGTGACAACCACTCAGGTGTCCTGGAGACAGGGAGTGCCGCTGAAAGGTGAGAGACGTGGGGAGAGCAAGTGGCCGGTCCTAGGCCCTCAGTTCAGAATGTACCTCTATGTAAGGGCCTGCTGGCTGTGTGTGTGTAAAGAGGATGCAAGCTTGCAAATTTGGTTCTCCACTATATTTAGGATGGAAGCAGAAAACCTTGCTGATTGCCTGCAAGAAATGAGCCTTGTCAGCAAGCTAACCAAAGGCTCCAAAGTCTTCCTGACCCATGAGGAGACCCAGCGCTTCATCAAGGAGTAAGAGCTCTCTTTCTCCCCTTGTTCCAGGTCATTTCTTGACCCTGCTTCTTCTCATGACATCTGTACTCCCTGAGTGGAGAAATATCTAGGACCCCGTTCTAACCCTGTTTGACTGTTGCCAGTTTCCATAAAAAGTGTGGGCAGTTGCCTTTAGGGATGGAAACACTGCAGGTCAGCACCTGGGAAGAAAATGGTGCCTGGCCACCACTGGTTTTACTGTGGGAATTATTGCTGCGTACTATGTCTGCTGCTCTGGGAGCTTCAACTACAGGGCAACTCAAATAAGTATTGAAATCATAACAGAGTAAGCCATAGACAATTGGGCACTTCACAGTGATGCCAAAATTTGTCCCTATTTCTCTGTCTCTGCCCTGTCAAACTTTTATACAAATTAGATAAACGAGAGGCTGCTTACACAGAGGCCTTTACATTTCTGCCTGTCAGTTGTTCAGTAAAGTAATAGGTAGAGGTCCTAGCCCCCACTGTATTGTGAGAGCAGGGAACGTCTGGGAGAAACTGGCTAGGTCTTCTCCTTTGCCTCCCCCAAATGGTTCCCTGTTCTCTTCCTTTTCCTAGGTGTGGGCTGCTGAACTGTGAGGTGGTCTTGGTTCTGCTCAACCAAACCCTGAAGGACCCCAGTGAGTGCATCCGCATGGTGAGGGAACCCTCTTGTCTCACAGGAAACTGGTTGCCTTCAACAGATGGGATTCCTTGCACTTCTGGTTTGGCAGCTGGACGCAGCTGCTGCAGAAATGAGGCTCTTTATCCACGGTTTGGGAATTCCATGCCCATCAGCATTCTATTTTAAGACAAAGCCTAAAACTAGAATTTCTTTTGTGTCACATGAGGGTGGATATGGAGCACAAACAGGTTGGGGTTTGTTTGTTTCCCACAAAAGAGCTTATTAGGAGGCTTAAATCAGTGGCCTCTCGTCAGTTTCATTGGCTCCAACTCAGTAAAGTGTATCAATGCTCTCCCCTCCTAATAGTGTCCTTTTTTTTCTTCCACAGAGAGCCATGTGTGCCATCTACTCCCTCATGTGTTCTGATTTGCTCTCCCATGACCAGATATTTGCTATTACCCAGCAACACTTGCAGGAACTGAGTCAAGAAAGCCCTGGGCCGGTAGCCAACAAAGCAACAAAGGTAACTTATGGCTAAGTGTAGTTGCTCTTGCTTCATACAGAAACTTTTTTTCTGAAACTTCCCCACTGTCTCTCTAGGTCAGGATGGGAAATGTGGGCCCCCTAATGAAGAAAGAAGAAAATATAACTGGGTGGAGAGGGGGGGTGCTTAATTTAGGAACTCTTGTTTTAAATTGCATTTCCCTGACCTGCCAGTGGGAACAGAGCAAGAACTTGGCCTCCGAGCCCACTGGCATGGCCCAGTTTTATCTAAGTCATCAAAGAACAAGCCATCAGTCCGTTATACTCTGCCAGGATGAGGACGTTGCTGGGATCTCTTTGTTCTTATGTTAAACCCATATTTTCTGTGTTTGCTGATAAGGATTGCATCAACGGGTAGTTTTGGCTCTATGATAATTGTTTTAGTGACTGGAAATGAAATACAGTGGTGCCTCGCTTAACGGGCACCCTGTTTAACGATGAAATCGCATAGCGACGATTTTGCGATCGCTTTTGCAATCACATTGCGATGTGTTAAATAGGCAAAAATCGCTTTGCGATGATCGGTACCCTGTTTCGCTTACCGGTCATCGCAAAGCGATGATTTTTTAACGGCTGGGCAGCGGTTCCAAAATGGCCGCCGGGTAAAAAAAATGGCCGCCCGCTGTTTTCTGGGACGGATTCCTCGCTTACCGGGCAGCGAAAATGGCCGCCGTATGGAGGATTTTCATTTAAAGGTGAGTCTGAAGCCCAAAGGAACGCATTGAAGGGGTTTCAATGCATTCCTATAGGCTTTTTAATATTGCATAGCGACGAAATCGCTTTGCAGTGATTTTTTCTGCACCGATTATCGTTGCTATGCGAGGCACCACTGTATCTCCTTCTATCCTCACCTAGTATACTCTGGGAGAGCTTTTTCCTCTTCTTTAGAGAACCATGTAACCTAGATACAGTTTTAAGTGCCAGCGGCCTATGCACACTGGTTTTAATGTTGTTGTATCAGATACCAATTCCTAGAGACCAATTGAGATCAACTAATTGAGGAAACAATGATGGAAGAGCAGTTCCTCTCTGTGAGTTACCTTGAGCGCCCCCAGTGCTACAGAATTGTTGAAACTAAGTTGCTATTAACCTGGTTAGTGCCTAGATGGGTACCCCACGTAGGTCAGTCTAAGCTTTCCAAGGAAAAGCAAGATTTATGCATAGAAAATAAAGAATACAGACTCATAAATGCAGAGTGAGAATGAATTGCTAGGGGGTGGGGGACTTCACAGTACCTTGGAGTGGCATATATATTTGTCTTCTGCCTGTTGTTGGCTTCCTTTGTGTTAGGAGGCTCCATTTTCCCCTGCTAGCATCATTCTTCTCACACGTAGCCCACTCCTTTCCCCTTCTAACTCACTTTCCACAGATGTTGCGTCAATTTGAAGCACTCTGCAGGAGCCACCCCACTTCCAAGAACTTGCCCTCCGTTGGAAACCAGAGTGTTTCTGCCAAGACTGCGCTGAAGCCCACAGACGACCTGCTGACAGATACGCTGCCCTTTGCAGGAGAAACCATCCTCAAGCCCATGAACCTGTTCACAAGTGGCCCGTGCCTCTCAGAAGGACAGGTGCTAGACTCTCTGTCCTCTTGCGAGCCTGATCTCCCACCGGCTGGCCTCAGCCAGCAGGGGGCAGAGTGCAGACACCCGGATGCTGATCTCCAGGAGGACAGACCTCCAAGGGGTGATCCGGATGGCACTGTTTCCTTATTTGCAGGCATGGAACTGGTGGCCTCTTCAAGTAGGACACTGGTGGCAACAGATGCTCAGGAATGCATTTCTCCAGTGCCACGAACAATGTCTTGTACTGGGAGCGCTAAGGACAGTGAAGACCACCAGGAGGCATCAGTCTTCTCCTTCCTCAATGTATAATTGTTCCCTGTTACAACTTCAGCTTTTGGAGAACTTAACTAGTAACTACTTGTTGGTTTTTCTTTCATTCTGCCCTTCCTGCTCCACCCAGGTCCTACATATCACACCGCGTCCTACATATCACACATTTGCCTTTCAATTGCTTGTCTCATCAGTTTTCCTAATGTCGTTGTCCCACATGGACAGGCTAGGATGGGGGGAAAGCAAGGTCAACTGCGGACCTGAAAGTGAAGACTCGACTCTTCAATGCTGCCTTTTGTTCAGAATGTTTCTCAATTAACACATGAAGCACAACACACTAACTATATGGTATCTTGTCACAAGGGCACAAATAGAGCTGTTTCCTCTAATTTGCTGATAAGGATCACTTTCCTGTTCCTTCCCACTTTTCAAATAGTGCTCCATTTCATTTCCCCACCCCCTGTAAGTAATATTCAGAGTTGTGTCTTGCTCTTGCCTACCACTTTTCTACAAGGCAAACGTGAATACAAAAAGAAAAGAAAAGAAAACACGAGACAGGGCAGTGTACTGACATGTCTCATGTGGTGGTTCCCATTGAGTTGGTTGGGAAAGGAAGGAAAACTGGTGCAGAATGTTTGGTCATCACTGGCATCCTTAATGATGTGTCCTGGCTTCTGTACAAAAAACTTCCATTCCACTTTATTCTGTGACTAAGCACGTGGGTTTCTGAGCTCCTTGGTCCCACTACAGCTTGAAGCGCAGCTAACTCTTGCAGTAGAAGCCACTTTTTCTCCCGGAAGGAGCAGACAGAGGAACTGCACCGAGGTTGCTATCCGATTCCATAAGTGGCACTTTGAGCATACAAATAGTCATAACATGGTAGGTGGTGCAGTTTGTAGACCTTTCCTGTACCTATTGTTACTTCAGTGTTGTAGCACACAACAGTTGAACTCCCTCCTGGGCAATATTAATCAACAGAATAATAACATTACTCCAGCATAAATCACTGGCAGGAGGAAAAGTCAGTCCTTGTTATCACATTTTTACAAGATTGAGGACTGCTGCATGCACATTCAATCCTGGGAATGCTACCTGTTAACACTGGATACACCACTATAACTTATAATGGAAAATAGCAAGTGACCCTTGTCTCCTATCCCCAGATGCACTGAACACCAATTGCCAGAAGTCACAGTCAGTAGAAAAGAATGGTGGGTACTGTGGTCTTCAACACCTACTGGCCATCCTCTTGTTAGCTTTGCGGTAAGCTGTTTTAAAAAAGAGAGAGAGAGAGAGGCCTTGCTCTCCCTTAGCTGTTTTTTTTAAAAGAAAAGTCTTGCTGATGGGCTTTGCTTGCTATTCTCTGGGTGTGTGCTAGTCCAAAGGCTTTTCTCCATGGATTCAAGCAGTCACATGTCTGAGCCAGTGCGAAAGTAAAAGCACCAGACACAGTGGGGAAAAACTTGGGATTGGGGTGGGATCTGGACTTATTCACATTTCCTTTTTGTGTCATGTGGTAAAGAGAAAAAAAAATGCAAATCAATCCATCCCAAAGCTGTAGTATTCCTTGCATTGTTTTCTAGTGTAGTCACACCCTGAGTCCGTCTTCCATGGTAGCTATTATGTAAAATTGTTTTTTTTTTCAAAGCAGGCTAGTCTACTTACTTAGCTGGCTGGATAGCTCTGTGAGTTAGGTATCTGGCTGCAGGGCCACAGGTTGGGAGTTCCAATTCCCCACTGCGCCTCCCAGAAAAGTCAGCCTGTGTAGCCTTGGGCAAGCTGCAACCAGAAAAAGGGAATAGTAAACCACTTCTAAGTAATCTGTACCAAGAAAACCCTGAAAAGGGTTATCATAAGGCAGAATTGACTTGACAACACACGGTTATTATTATTATGCTTATTTAGGTGCAAAGAGAGGATGGTTCTGTGCAGGCGGAAACAATCCTGCTGTCAGAAATGTGACCAGTTGAGCAATGCTGGGCAAATCCAAATCCACAAGAAGAACATTAATGATTTATTTCTTCTGCCACATTCATTTCACAGAGATGTGTTAACAGTCTTTGCTTTTGATGTTGATGCTGAGGTAAGTTGCAACTAAGTAGGTGCATTAGAATCAATGTAGCTTATGGAGGAGTTGATTCGCCAAATCCTTGCTGATTCAGTGGGAATACTCTTAATTGCAATTTACGACACTTAAGCAATGGGATTTTAGTGTATAAGTTGTCTTCTGCTTCATTTATGACCTCTAGGCCAAATTCTTCAACATTCGGATTTGATACGTTGCTGATTCAGTGGGAATATTTTAATTGCAATTTACGACACTTAAGCAACGGGATTTTAGTGTATAAGTTGTCGTCTGCTTCATTTATGACCCCTAGACCAAATTCTTCAACATTCGGATTTGATACGTTTCCTACTTTTATGCTTATCATAGGTGACAGGAACTGTGAACAACAACTGTTAACAGGAATTGGTCTGTGAACAATTTCCTCTTGGACACTTACATAAAGAGTTTCAATTCCTTTTCAGAATCTGTTGTTGGACCATGGACTTGAATGATGGTTATACTGAAAGGTTTGCCCAGAAATCTGATATTATTTGATTAGACCTTGCATTAAACCTCTAACTGCCTGTGCTGCCTCTTGCCTCAGTATTAGAGCCACTCCATTTCTTCTGAGCTTGTCAGCATCAGACTCTTCTTTCACTTCTGTACATGTCAGCCTCTAGACATCCTTTTGGCTTTCATCACTAACCATATTGCTATTGATCCTTGTCCGTTGCTGTTCTCCAGTAGCTGATGGAGTGTCTTCCAACCTGGGAGTCTCATTTTCCAGCACTTTCTCTTATTTTACTTTGGATTGTCTCATCATAGGGCTTTCAAGCTAAGAAATTTTTAACAGTGGTGTGTCACTGCCTTCTTCTGTGCACTACTCATTGCTGCCATTGTTTCCAAAAGATCCTCTGCCAGTGTCACCTCCCACTACTGCTCCTGCCCAGTAGCTGCCCTCCAGCAGTTTTTCCTCCCCACCATCACCACTGAAATTATCCATGCTCTCTTTTGTTGATGTAACCATTAATCCCAAAGAGGGCTGATGTGTCTTAGCTTGGTATCTCAGCTGTGATGATTCTGTCTTGGTGAACTCCTCCTAGGAGTCTAGACTTGTAGTGGAGGCTAGCCTCCTGAAGGCATTGTTCTTGGCTTCTCTGATAACACTCAAACTTCCTCACTACATTAAGGTGTACATCCAAAAAAGTTGTGTGAGCCCTGTCAGCCCCAGTAACTTTGGCCAGGTTCCCACCTCCTATCCCTCAATTCAAACAATCACTGGGCAACGAATAAAACTTAGTAGGGTTTATTAGAACTTGGACTGTAAAGAAAGATAACAAATGCTTGATGTGCAGAGTCAGTAGTCCCAGTTTCCTTCACTAGTTCCACGTTCACTCCATGGATTTACCACCCTCTGGTTCTATTAATCAAGAAGGCCAAAGTCTCTTGGGGTGACTTGGTTCCATTCACTGAATCCCTGGTCTTGACCAGTTCATTCAGACCACCCTCCAAGATTTCTTTCTCTCAGGGGTGTCTCCTGTAGCAAGAGTTGGCATGCCCACACTGAGGGCAGTTATGCCGGGACTCCCCCTCTGGTGGCACTGGTCCCCTCACCTCTTGATATTTACTGGTCGTAAGGTCTCCTTTTCCTCCAGCACCTCCTCGGGGAGGAAGAACAGCCACTATTCTCCACTCCCTCTCTTCTTTCCTCTTTCTACGTCCGCTGGCTGGCTTATACTCATATTTGGAGGCCTCTTCTTGGGCAGCGGAAACTGGACCCAAACCCCATTACCAAGGACCCTCCTTATCTACATATTCCAGTTCACCAGGGACTTCTTCTTCAGGGAACTCCTCAGCCCAAGAGTTGCCCAACCACTCTTTCTGGGCATCTCCCCAGTCTTCATCTCCTGAGGGTCTTCCTTCTCCCTCTGGTCCTTCCTCTCCCACAACTTGCTGGGGTTGATTGGTTGGTAGGAAAGTCAGTTGCCCCCTCAGTAACTTCTTTCACCGTCTGAGAGGTACCTGTCTCTCCCTCTGGCATAGGGATATCTGTCACACACACCCCTAGGTTCTTATCTTTCCTTCTGGTGCAAGGACGTCTATCTCTCCTCTTATCATAGGGGTATGTGACCTCTGGGACGACTGCTCTCCTTCTTTGTGAACAAACTCTTCCTCTACAGCCATCCCCATCTTTCTTACCCTTGAACTGTGGTTCTGCCTCATCTGGCAGCAAAGCCCCTTTTATATCTTGCATCCGCCAGGAGTAGACTAGTTCCTGCTATTCCCCTAGGGATCATCTGTCAACACCCAGGACCAACAAATCAGGAAAAGGCCACATGGTCATGGAAACAATAAAAACACAGGAGCAGGTGATAGCTTCTTGAAAATAACCAGGCCATGGCACACACACACCTCTCTACAAGCAGGAGAGTGGGATAAATCATCTGTGTTGATATCTGGGAGGCAGCCCCAGGTCCTTGGTTGGAGCACACTGGCACACGGACAGGGACATCCAAGACCCTGTCCTCCTCACAAGGTGATCTGATACATAATACTTTGGGGCTCAATCAAGAATCATCACCCTCCTGTCATCCTGCCTTGAAGCAAGCCAGAAACAAATGAGCTATAACCTGATTCTCTCCATCTCTGCTCAGAAGTCAACCTCACTAAGTTGAGTTAGGCTCTTTGCCAATAAGTGTGTATCAGATTGCAGCCTTAATATTTCTTTTGCCTGATTTATCAGCTTTAATATTCCTAATCCGATCTAGCAGTTACTTTAACAGAAGCAACATGCATGGGTTCTGTATTCTAGGAGCAGGGTAACAAGACTGGACACTGCATAAAAAAAATACTAATGTTTCCATGCATGTAGAAACTCTCCTCACCAATCCGCAAGTTCTTTAAATGCAGGGATTGGTTTTGCAGTGAAAAATCGTTACATCACATGAGCTCACACCTGTGAATATAAAGTGGTATAGCCCAAACAGTTTACCAACTTGATGAAAATCAAACCAGTGCAAACTTAATAAAACTGTTAGTCAGTAAAAGGATATTAATGACTAACAGAGAGGTGCCTCTGCTTATTAGAGAATTAGAGCACTGACAGTATCCTTCCCTACAACACTTTATACTCAGAATATCTGCCAACAAATAGCAAAAAGTAAAAATGGAAAGAACACAGCTAAAAAAGCTACATACTTTTTTTTACAAGTCCCAGAATTCAATGGTAAAAAGGACACTCAGTCCTGGCTGGAAGATTGTGAGAGCTGTAATTATAGTGTTTTTCTTCTTTAAAAAAATTCCAAGATGGAAAGAAGTTGTTGAGCTTATGAGAATGCTTAAATTGGGGACATATGTGGCCACAACAGTGGGAAAGAGTAGTTCACCAGCTAGGGCCATACTTTGGCAGGCTTGTCAAAGGAAAAAGACAACATCCGGAGAAGTATACTCCTACTTGGATTTTGCACTGATTTCAGTAGAACTTCATTATGCCATGTGTCTATATGCAGCTCCCATTATTTCCTGGGAAGTTCCCTTTATTTACTTTCATTTTAGTGCAACATCAACTAAATCTAGAATTACCCATTTGATTGCTTCACTCTTTGATGGGCACTCAAAAGTGTGGATCTGCAACTTGATCCCAGTTATATGTGATGGGCTCTGGCAGGAGACGAATCGCCATAGAGAAGGGCTATTTTGCCCAGAATCTCCAAAAGTCTTCTGTGGAAGCATCCTTTCAGTTTTCTAGCAGAAAAACAGAACTATCTGAGCTCCATTTTTCTCCTAGTTTTTCTCAGGAGAGGGCCTTCTCTGTTGCTGCAGATTTCAGCAGCCTCTCTCACTGAAGGCCAAGTTGGCCCCTTCTGAAGACCTTTCTCTTCAGGCAAGCCTTCCCTCAGTAACCAGCTGTGTGTCACTTTTGGATAGATTGATATGCATTATTTATTCGGCTGGATTTTTAGTACTACTTGTCTTTTCCACTTCTCAGAGTGACATTTTTAAGAATGTTTGTATATTTATTGATCTTTACTTTAATATCGCCTATTAATGACATGAGATGCCTCCTTATTCATTGTTCATAGTTTTAAATATTATCTTTCAGTGATGTTAAACACTGTTGTATATTCATTATTTTCAACTCTAAAAGCGAGGAGAAAAAACGAAGGGGCCACACTGGGCTAGGATCCGGGATAGCTAAGCGAGGAGGAGGAGGACCCCCTTTAGAGAAGCAACGTGATAATGCAGAGGGGAAAAAAACCCTCTGGCTTGGAGAAAAGCAACTGAAACTTTCGCCTCGGTGGGATCGCTGCTCTACCCGACGGAAAAGCTCCCCTTGTTCACGGCGGGGTTTTTTCCTTCTCCCCCGCCCGGTTCTTCTGCAAACGCCCCCCCCCCCCCCTTTTTCCCTCCCTCTGCTCCTTTCTTTCTCTCTTCCCCGCCCGCTTGGGCCATTCCTTTGCTTCCTCGCACGGCTCAACCAAGCCTGGCGGGCGAGAAGGACAACAGGATCAGCCGGTAAGGAGCGGCCCTCGACCCGTTTCAGCCAATGACGTGTCACGGGAGGGTAGAAGGCGGGCTTCTCCTTTGCACTCGTTCGGCGTGTTGTTCCCGACGTGTGGCTGCTGTGCCTGCTGGTTGCTAGAGGCGCTTTTTTTTTCCTTTCCGCCTCCCGCTTTGTCGTGAGGGCGAGGAGGAGGAGGAGCAGCTGAGGCAGCAACCCCTCAGCGCCAGCAGGGGGGGGGGGTCGGTGGTGGCGGCAGTTTCCCATAGTGACCTCGGTGGCTGCCCCGTCCCCGTCTGTTGGGGGTGTGTCCGTGCGCCTGAGGTCCTTACCGTCCCTACACACAAAGGGGGTAGAGGCCCTTTGGTCGCCCTCATGGGGGTGAAAAGAACGAAGAGGCGTCGCTGTTGAGGCCCTCTCTCTGCCTCAGGGGTCGGGGGTGGCGGCGGCGGGTAATGCAGAGAAGTTCCCCCCCTCTCTCTCGCCCCCAGCAGAGTTGAGGCCTCCCCTTCAGCCCGGGCTCGAGTGACCCATAGCGGGTGGGAGTGGGAGTGGGGGTGTGGGGGTCCTTCTAATCCTCTGGACAGCGGCGAGAAAGATAGGTAAAGACCCTCTTTGGACACCTCTGTAAGGTAAGTAAGTGATGGGGGGTGGATGCAAGCTAAGGGGGCAAAAGTCTTCCCCAAATCCCCCCCCCCAGATCTATGATATAAGTGTGCGTATTTGTGGGGGTGGGAAAGGGGGAAAGGAACCAAAGGGTTTCCCAGTCCCGTGGCCACTTTTCCTCTCCGGCTGCTGCTTTTTTCATTGTTTTGCAAACCCTCTACATGGGCTGGTTAGGGTCATCCTGTAGCAGCTCAGGCTTTGCGGAGCCCCCACTGCCTAAGGTTGGGGGTGAGGAGCTCCGGGCTGTCTGCTGGAATTTGTCTGGCTACCAGGAAAACATCATTTTCCTTTATATGGGGGGCGGGGGGGAGAGGTTTTTGCTAGAGTATCTTGCTGCCCTGATCTGGAGAAAAAAACAACTCTGTTCTTGCTCCTTTTCGCCATTTTGGAAAGGTAGCAGTTGCCCTCCTTTCTGTAGCCTTTGGTCTGCAGATTGGGAGTAAGAAATTATTACGGGTTTGGGTGTTTTAATTAGAGATGCCATGTACTGGAGCTTGATGAAGCTACTAGGTAGTCCTCAAGATCTGTTTATGGATGAATATGTGGTTAATACACATTCCTGGCATTAACAGTGTCAGCCTTTTTGAACAGTTGCTGCTCTTGTAATAACAAAATAATATAATAAGAATCTTAGAACTGCAGAACTATGTGGATCCTTACAGTAGTTCTTAAGTGTATATATCTGCAGATGTGGAAAAACGCTTTTTCCTGTTGCATTTGTGTTTTCATCACACTTGCTATATCTATCCCATGAAGACATGCTCTAATATCAAAATAATAACTGGTTTTAGTAAAAAGATATGGTGTCACTTGAACATTATAACAAAGCTTAACTGCAAGTTGAATGTGATACCTGAAATCATTTTGACCACTTTGAGGACTACTATGAAATTGGGCTGCTGGTCATGAAGGTGATTTTAGGCAAACAGTACTCAGACTTCATGTACTGTACTTAGGAGTCTTTAAAGACCTTGCATATCAGTGTTTATGGGGATTGTGTTCCTTAGAATGCTTGAAGGATTGTGCAGTCTGTAAGCATATTAATAGTATAAATTTATCCTTTCACATGGAAAAGTTTCACATCAAAGTGAATGCTAATAAGCCTCCCATATAGACAACTGCTTGGCCACTCTAGAAAGGGAATTTTGGACTAGATAGGCCTCTACTCTGATACAGTCTACAGTACTGTACTTCTTCCTATATTTGTAAACTGTTAAACCTTCCTTGTAGTAGTATACCCATAATACAATGTTGTCATTTTGGAAGCATCATCTTTATACCAGTTCAGATGTTCCTTAGTCAAGATTCTAAAAAAGAACATGCAGTTGTTGTTTCACATTAAATGGGAAGGGGGGATGTGCTTTGTATTTTACTGTTTGGAGAACAGTAACAGCTAAGATTCTCAGGAATCTGATAAGGCTCATGTGCTTTTTCATTTCTCCTGGTTTAATTAACAGCACTGAATTAATGCAAACTCAGTCTATAGGTTTACAATTTGAGTTACTGTAAACCCCAGCAGTATGATTTTTCCTGATAAAATAGATACAAGCTGCCTGGTAGCTGGCCTAACCCATATTTCTCTCCATGAGCGTCTAAGGTTTCCATAGAGAGCTTCTAGTGTATCTTTCCACAGCCAAGAAATTTGCAACTGTGAGCATTTGAAGGATGGGCTGTTTCTATTGTAACAGAATCACACAAGCCTATATAGAATAAAAAGCATTTAGATTTTAGAAAATGAAAGCATTTTCCAAAATATCTGAACTGCTAGCAAAAGATTGAAGGGTAAAGTTCTAGCTGTTAAACTGTTAAAATTATGTTCCCATCCAGTGTGAAAAATAAACAGGTCTGTGTGACTGCATGGACAGAAATTCTTCTAATTATCATATGTGTTTTCCCAAATTTCCCCTTTATATATAGGACCAAAACCATAAACCTATAATAGCACACAAAAGAGAGAGAGAGAGAGAGAGAAATGAAATTGTGGAACTTTTGTTAGATTAGTTACCCTGTTTCCCTGAAAATAAGACAGAACCTGAAAATAAGCCCTAGTATGATTTTACAGGATGCTCGTAATATAAGCTCTACCCCCAAAATAAGCCCTAGTTAAGTGAAAGCCTTGCATCCACCATCGTGCAGTAACCAGAAGAAGGTGACATGACTGCATTTGAATAAATGTAGATTGTTGTACATTTAAAAAAATCCCCTGAAAATAAGCCCTAATGCTTTTTTTAGAGTAATAGATCCTGTCTTATTTTCAGGGAAACACGGTAGTCTAAGGCATCCAGTTTTATTTTACTGAAAATTCACTCTGAACAACTACTGCTGCATCTAAACATCCTTGTGATAGTTTTTCTATACTAATGCAGTACATTTTGAAGGAATGAGAAATAAATCAACTATAAGAGGTAGAGATGAATATCTCCGATCAGAAGGCGGAGAAGGAGCTATCATAGACCAGTATGAAATCTATGGAAATACTCTGGAAAGGTCTTCTAAGATGCTGTTGTTTTTTTCCAAGGATTACTGTCAATTGCTTTCTGTTTTTGTCCCTATTTTTGCAACCCTGAAGGCTAGATTTTAAAGTAGGCTGAGATTCTCAGGAATCTGATAGGACACATCCATTGGAATTGTTGTTGATTGTAACACATATGAGAACAGTGAATAAGCCACTGCCACAGAAAATTGTATCCAATCTGCTATTTTTCTCCTTTACCATGCATTTCCAGGACTTACTTCCTTCACTCTCTCAGCATGAAGAGTGCCCGTGGCAGCAGCTCTTCCTTCCAGAGTGCTAGTGCCAATGGTGTGGATCTCAGCCTTACAGGATTGCCTGTACAAGTTCTTCAGCACCCTAGTAGTGCCTCTCCAGGCAAGCATATTGCTCGCTCTGTCTCTGTTATTACTGAAAACAAGCCCAAGAGAAATATCCTAGTGAGTACTGCAGTTAGACTGCTTACTTTCCTTTGAAACCTATAATGTCTTCCAAATATGTTCCTGAAAAATATGTATTGGTAAAGTATAGTTTTATATGAATTGTTGTTTTGTGCAAGAGAGTAGAACAAGAGAGTTTTGTACTATTTTATAACATAACAGAATCATAAACTCAGTGTTGGTTAGGTACTACAGCAAACATGTCCGGAGAGGGAATCCAGGTCACAGAAAACTGCATTATTGATGTCTGTTTCGTTCTCCCAGGAGGATGCGGGGTTTGGCACCTCCAGAGCTATGAACAATTTGCGAAGATCCAACAGTACAACTCAAGTTAATCAGCAAATGAATGGCACTTTCAGGTGAGCCTTGAATACCTTACTTAAAGCAAGATCAGGCCACAGGCTTTCATAAAGCCTTATTAGTATGGGCTAATCCCTCAAAACTCTGAGGTTTGGTGTTTTTTATTTGAGGGCTTCCTGCAGACTGAGCAAAATACTTGAGAGCTGTTCTTGGAGTGAATGAGTTCCCCTCTTTGACAGCAGGTTGAGTGGATGTCTTCTGAATGTGCGTGAATTAATACTATGTGGGACTCCAGGACTCCTGACTAATTCTGTGGTTTTGCTTTTCAGCAGTTCAGATCATCATGGAGACTTCCTGACTTTGTTTGACAGCAGTTCAGGTGGAAGAAAGAAACTAGCAAGTCTTACCAAAACCTCACCAGAAAAAACCACATGGAACATCCTAGTAAGGGCACGGTCGTAACAGGAAGTGCAAGTATCAGAGGAACTTCAGATCAGTGGAGTTAGTCCTAAGCTTTATTCCTTCAGCCTTCTTGTGCTACGATAGACAGTCTTCCCGTGATGGCATTTGGAGCCTTTCAACATAAAAATATTTTATTGTGCATAAATGCACAGCAGTTGTTGCAAAGGATGGAAATATATCTTGAGTTTTCACAGCATTTATTAGGAAAATATAACTTCAGCCTATGATCTGCCATCATCCACTTCAAAGCAAGTGATGTATAGAACATGTTTGCAAGAACAGTTGTTAAATAATGGTATATGTTTCCATTCAGCATAAAATTATGATTTTCTCCTTAAAACTGAAAAAGTGGAGAGCAGGCAACCACCTGTAATGTTGCCATTCCCCTTCATCACAGAAAGGGAGGATATGTCTCCACTGGTTTGGCTTTGTAACTTGAAGATGCAAGTAGGGACAAAAAGGTGCTTCTAAGGAAGAAATATCAATTAAGGAGATGGAGAAGGGTGCTATACAGTTGTCATTGTTTTTCCCTGTCCTGTCTGCGCTGGTCCTGTTTGCCCGTTGTCTGATATTTGGACTAGGGAACATCAGCACATGGGTTGACACACACTTTATAGCTTGTGAGCTTTGAAAACACAACATCAGTGTCTTTGACAAACAGTCCTAGTACTTTGTTCCACTCTTGAAACGTCCAGGCTTACACAAACTTTTAAAATACAATTCATAGTCTCACATCCCAGAATTTTTCTGCAAAAAGTCTTCAATATATGATACAGGAGGCATTTGTCTTCTCTAGGAGTGAATAAGAATCAGTATGGGCTTAAGTTGGATTCTCTATGTGTAGTAGAGTAAGGAGATTTCTTAAAGTGCCTGGATGGACAATGACTGTGGCTTTTTCCCATGCTTGTTTCTGGTTATATCGTGCAGGATGAGCAGCCCAGAACTTTTCCTGCTCCATCAGGCACTCGGGAAGCATCTTCAAGCATGAGGAAGAAAGACGTCTTTGTGCCTCTTGCAGCCAATTTCACTGCTAATAATAGGTAAAAAAAGTGTCTTGCCAGGCTCACTTTGCTTTTGGTATTTGACATAAATAGCTGAAATCTGACTGGTGTTTTATTTTGTTTTTAAACGACTGCAGGATTTGTCTTTGCACTATTGCTAAAATAGCTGGGATTGGGATAGTATGTTTTGTTCTTTGGTCCTTAACAGACAGGAGAGAAGGATAGACAAAAGGACCAACAGAGCTGCAGAGCAGTAAGCATAACGGCAGCATTATTTATTGGTGTCTTATAATTTTTAAAGGGAAAGTTGGTACTTGCGGGTAAAGCTCTGGCAAGATTATTTCAAACTATTTGGCATGATCTTTTCTGAATTGTTTCCCTGTTATAGTTGATGCTTTTCAGGAAAGTAGGCACAGAGTTCAGCTCTGTAAGATGGTTGACAGGAGGGATGCAGAATGTTTTCTCTGTTGAAGCCTACAGGAGTCTGTTGTCAGGAAGGGACTGGCTATCCATTCTTTCTTTTTTTTCCCTCCTACTAGCGAGTGCTTTGTTGAAGACAGATCTCTCTTATCAGAGGTCTGAACTGATTGCTCCCAGAGCACCTTTGAAATAATCCTTGTTCTTAGGCCACAAGTAGTCCACTTCAGATTTACAGAATGTGGGACAGAGGTGTCTGTTAATAGTGGATTGCAGAAACCTGGTGATATAGTCCAGTTGATAAGTGATTTTTTTGTTTAGATGATATTTTGCAGAAATCATTATACAGATGTAAACACACATTTTCAATCTCTCTTTGAGGAGTAACAAAGGTGCCATGGGAAACTGCGTTACCACCATGGTGCATAACAACTACTCCACTGCAGACAAGGTGCCTACTCCTAAGAGCTCCAACCAGGCCACAACATCCCTCAAGTAAGTCCTTGGGTATTTCAGTCTCAGTTGTCCGTTCAGCAACCACCAAATGTGGGGAAGGAGTTGGAAGATCTAAACAAGACAGCTTGGTCAGTGTCTTAAGTATGAGGAAGCTGTAGGGGATGGGTGAGGGAAGTGATGGTTTTTAAGAAGGGAAGGAAAAGTGGGCATGAATTGAACTTTGTGAATGAATGCACACCTATTTCTGAACTCCCCCCTTTTGTGAAAGAAAGAAAGAAAGAAAGAAGAAGATAAAGATTACACTATCAGGTTTTATTTACATGAAGGAGGCTTCCGAAAGTGGCGCTTTGCGGGTGTGGGGGTGGGTGGGGGTGTGGTAGGGACAGGGCCCCCCAGAGCCCCCCCTCGCGCCGCTTTCGGAAGCCTCCTGGGGCTTTTTCAGCAGTGAAAATGCACCTCTGAAAGCGGTGCTTTGCCGTGGGGGGGCTTGCACGGGGGGGCTGTCCCTGCCACCCACCCCGGCAAAGCGCTGCTTTCAGAGGCTTCCCCACTGCCTATTCACCTGCTGGAGAAGCTTCTAAAAGCAGCGCCCGTCAGCTGTAAGGTGGGGAGGGGGAGGGGCTGGAGCGGGGACTCCCGGCTCTTTTCTGGGACAATGCTATTTTTTATTGTTAGCCACCCAGACTTGGGTCTAAATGGGTGAGGTATAAATCAAATAAATAAATAAATAAATAGTGTCATACTGAACAGCCATGGGTCAATTCAGGGAGTGTGTCTGATGAATACTGTTTTCTTTCCTTAGCAACATTATCAAAGCCACCTCTAATGAAGACACAGAGAGCAGCAGCTATTTGAAGTCCCAGAAGAACTTTTCCAGCAGCAATGTTCTGGCTCGGAACAATAATACCAGTAGTAGCACTAACCCACTCAGGAGGCAGGAAGTGTCAGAGGAGGAAGCTGAGCGGTAAGCATAAAGGAGATGACAAGAGAAATAATGTGTTACGGTAGCAGGTTATGCAGAAGGGTGAAAGGAATCCAGATGGTAGTTGAGAAAACTATACACTCTTACGTTGCTTCTTAACAGCTTTGACAGAACATTCTGGGAAAGATCAACTGGAAATCACCAAGTGTTTTCCAGTTGATCTTTCCCAGAATGTTCTTTACTCCGATAAAATAATGCTGATCTGTTTGCTCTCATACCTGCTGAAAATATATTGCTGTGGGCTGAGTGTTGTGCTCCACATTTTCCAGAAATCACAAGATAAAGTAAATTAAGGAGCCCTGAGTACAAGAGATGTTTGGGGGAGCATGTCAGTTCCCTCTGTGCCTTTCTTATACCAAAATCTACTTTTCTAAATGTAGAGAATGGGAAGTAATACTTATTGCTTCTAAGTTCTTTGTGTCCTTTTTAGGTTCATTAACCATGTTAACTTGGCTGCTGTGACAATCCAGCGCTGGTACCGGCGGCATTCTCAGAGGCACAAGGAAGGCATAGCTCAGCTTGGCCGTTTGTTAGCTTCTAAAAAAGAGGTGTGTTCACCATATATGTGTTGTATAGTTTCTGGTCCTGACTCTGGAAATGAAAGAAAACCAGTTTACCTGCAATAGAGGAGGTCAGTGTCAACTGAGCTGGTCCTTCTACTTATTCCAGAAGGCAGGACGGAATGTTAAACTGCCCCAAGTGCCCTTCTTATGTGGGAGAGCATCCCTTCCCTGTTCTGGACCTTCCTAGCCCCTCAAGGCAGGGCATTTGGTGGAGCTCTGTCAAATTATTTCAGCCTTTATCTCTCTATCATTCCACTTAGCATAAAAGATGCAGTGTGTTTTCCCTTGATAAGCGAACTGATCCAGTGCTTTTCTCTTGCTCCCTGTGCAGAATTATTGGAGGACTGAATACATGCAACTGCTTTTGGTTATGATTAAGTCTATTGTACAAGAGCTTGAAGATGCAAGAGAGAAGTTTGTAAAACTGGCTGAAATGCTTGTTATTTTTATTTATCCGATAGTCTGTGAAATGGTACTTCCCAGTTCTGTCTCTGAGATTTGCCCTCGAAAAGGATCAGTGTCAAATTGGAGGAGCCATCCCCAGACAAAACAAAATGTCTTGTCTATTAATCAGACAGATTAAGCTGTGCAGTTTTGCATTGCATGTATCTTCCCACCCAGAGGCAAAGATCTACATGTTGAAATAAATGTTGTTTTACCTATATCCACATACTTGCTCATTTGAAGTCTTAATTTTGCCTCCAAGGGCCAGTTTCTCAACTAGCAAGTTGGCAGGAGCCTGAAGAAGTGAAATGTGTAGAGCTTGGGTGTAGGTAGACTGTGGAGCGATGCATTTGAGAAAAGGAGAGTATTGTGCAGGATCCTGCACCCTGTCTGTCATACACACCCACACCTTGATCACCAGATTCTCAGCAGAGAAAGGAAAAATTTGAACCGGGAGGGGGGGGGAACAACAAACTCTTGACCACATGGGATATTTGGCTTGATTATGCTTTTTGCTGTTTAAGGAAAGGCAGCAGCAACTCACAGAGGACGGCAACATCTTAGATTTGCAGCAGAGGCGAGAAGAGGAGAGGAGGAAGATCCGGGAGGAAAAGGCACGCCTTGCCAGGAGAGCGGCCATCCAGGTGGGAACTTTTAATGCCAACGCTGCCTCAGCCTGTGTCTTAGTGGAAATTGATATTTGTTTCATTTTGTTTGTATTGTTCAGTTACATGCTAGATTGTGTTATTGCAGTCTTTCCCAAGGTATGCACTGTGATGCTTGGGTGGGTCACCAAGTTTCGTGAGGGGCACCTGTGGGAAAGGGAAGGGAACACAGAGCAAAGTCTGCCCCCCCCCAGCTGCAGCTCCTTTGCAGTGCCTAGTGGTTCTGATCCTGGGCACCTTCTTGGGCTGTGTTGCTCTCACTTGGCCTGGCCACCCTGACTGGGGCTGGAGCTGCTCCAACTGCCCACATGTGTGCAGGCGGGGCTCTCTTCCAAGCTGTCTGCTTACTCTCCCGGCTGCCCATAGAGCTACCTCTCTGACCCCTCCCAGCTGCTCCACCTAGCTGTGATTCTGCCTGCCTGAGACTGAAGGCCCAGGTGAGCAGGTCAGGAGCCAAACCTGGGGAGGAGGATAAACTGCACAAGAGGAAAGGCGCCCTAAGCCCAGGATCAGGGAGGAAAGAGAGCCACTAGTTGAAAAGGTTTGGGAACCACTGGATTGATGTTTAACCAACACTGGAAGGTAGACCATAACAGAGCTGTAACAGTTTTTTTTAAATTGTAGGAACTGCAACAGAAACGGGCCCAAAAAGCTTTGCATACTCAGCGCTTGGTTCAGGAGGAGTTAGCATTAATGAAAGAAAGCAAGAAAACTGGAAGAAGGAAACCTGGGAAAACAGGCTCTGTGAAGAACACAAGCCCTGCAAGCAGTATAATCAAAGCCAATAATGCAGGTTAGAAATACTGGCAAATCTTAAAACTGTAGGTCCAGAGGTTTTAAGCAGCACGCTTTGCTTTTGCTTCTCTTAACCATTGCTGTAGTCCAACTCCCCTGGACTTACAGGATCTGTCAAAGCAGTCTTATCAGCTTCCCAGATGGAGGTGCAAAACAGTGTTTAAACATGGGCTGTGCTGAGGATGTGACGTATCAGTATTCCATGCTAGATGTGTTTTGGATAAAAAATACATGGTGTGAAGTCCAAATTTTATAAGCGGGCAGTATGTGAGGGTTCCACTCTAGGCTCCTTTCTCATTTCAAAGAAATCAGGAGATTGTTGTTGTTTAGAAACAGGTAAACACAGGTTATTTGTGTTTAACAAATAACCAATGTCCAGAACATGATTCCATCATCTTTCCCCTTTGGACAACGGGTCTTGAAGGGGCTTCCAATTTTCACCCAGGAACGAGTTTCTGTCACCAGAGTTCCAGGGACCCAGCCAATCCACAAAGATGTTAGGGTTTACAGTCTGTCCCGCTTCACCTTCCAGCAAGGGCACGTTCTCGTCATCCCAACCCACACAAGACATCAGACATCCTTCTAATGTGGAAGCCTTCCAGGGTCCCTCCCTGAACCCCTTTCTCATCTCATTTACCCTCCAAGCCTCGTTCTCCTTTCTCTTTCTACTCTTTCCTTCTCTAAGCTTCTTTCTCCACTCTTTGGCCTCTGCCTCTCCTCAGTAGGACGGTCGGGGTGGAATCTCCCATCTCCTCCTATAATCCGTCTCCTCCTTGGACACTCTTAGTCTTTCCCAAGCACTGGTCCATGGGTCCTCCATCCAAACCCACTCCCAACCTGGCAGTAGCTGTTTTTTCCCTCCTTTTTATATTTGCTGTCCCCACCTCTATCTCCACCCTCTTCTTCCACTATTCCCACCGCTTTTCCCTGAGCCCTTTCAACGGTCAGTTTTTGTATTTCTCCTTCTATCTCCTCTGTCTCTGTCCCTCGCTGCTCTGTCTTTTTGAGAGTTGAGACAGGCTCGGTCTGTATTTCCTTTTCTTCTGTACGGAGGAGGGATGGCTCTCTGACGAGTGGGATACCCCTCTCACCTTCTATCTCACACAAACAGCAACAAAAAAGTCGCAAAATTTTGTAAGGAGTTCATGGGAGTGAGCATGGCCTCCCAGGTTCTAAGGATGAATGTTTACAGTTATTGCATCTCTGGAGGTTGCTTTACCCGGTTAAGGGGAACATGTAGGTAAGTTGATGCATCTGCACAAACTGAGTCAGGACCTTTTTGCCACGCCTTCAGAATTGTTGGGAGGACCTGAGTTGCTAACTTCAGAATAAAATAAAACTGGTGATACCAGAACTACATTTATATCATGTTTCTGCAAAACTTGTGGATTACAGTTGCACTTCTTTCCCATAATGTATGACTTTTGCTTTTCAGTCTCTCCAGTTGTAATTGGTTATCCAGCTGCTTGGTATAAGGAAGTAATATGCAATTCATGTGTAGGCAGTTGGGTGGGAAGTCCAACAGTAGCAGTCCAACCGGCTGCATGTCTTCATGTATGCCATGGATAAACTTTCCCATCCAAATTCTGGAAATGCATGAGATTTTGAAAGTATTCTCTTGTACACATCTAGAAACACCACCCTTGTATTTTTTAGGCATGGTCTTTACGCAATAGCAAATGCTGCTGCTGCTGTTCTTGTTTACAGATGCCAGTTTCCCCTTGGCAGCTACAGATACAGAAGAAAATTCTGCCATGGCATGTTTGACTGTTCCAGGACAGAACAGAGTCCCTGAAGAGCAGCCACAGGTGCCACCTTTTATTTTCTCCTGTCCCTGAAATGTTTCTTTTTCCCATCACTTTCCAGCTTGTTCAGCCCCATGCCTTTTTCTTTTGCTATGATATAGTGTGTTTGATTGAGAAATACATGGGTGTGTGAAAACTTACCAGAAAAATGAATCGGCTGCCATTTGAATAAAATATTAGTATCCATGTAATACCTGAAAAATAGATACAGTGGTGCCTCGACTTACGAACGTCCCAACATAGGACCATTTCGAGTTACGACCAGCCTCAAAATTTTGCTTTGACTTGCGGCTGGAGCTTTGAGTTACAACCCATTGCTGTAGTCCAACTCCCTTGGACTTACAGGCAGGGGAAAAAGGCAGGGAATTCAAATTGCTAACTGTTTGTAGGTGAAGAGGCTGCTTCTTTGTAGCTCTTTCACCCCAACAGTTAGAGTGAGTTCGATTGGAGGAGGCTTCGGACTGCCTGGTAAGGTAAGGTGCTGCTTTCTGCTTTTTAAAAACTGTTCTGGGTGGGTTTTTCAGCGTGGTTTTGGGCTGGGTGGTGGGATTATGTTTCTATGCTGTGATGGGTCTTGCGGGGTTTGTTTCTTGGGGGGTTCCCCCCATTTCCAATGGGTCTTGTGGGGTTTGTTTGCTTTTTGTTTCCTCCCCCCATTTCCGATGGGTCTTGGGGGTTTGCTTGCTTTTTGGATTCCCACCCCCCATTTCCAATGGGTCTTGGGGGGTTTGTTTGCTTTTTGGTGGTTCCCCCCATTTCCGATGGATCTTGGGGGGGGGTTGCTTGCTTTTTGGGTTTTCCCCCTTTCCCATGGGTCTTGGGGGGTTTGTTTTTTGGGTCCCTCCCCATTTTCGATGAGTCTGGCGGGGTTTGCTTGTTTTCTGCTTTGCTTTATTTATTTACTTACTTACTTACTTACTTACTTACTTATGCTTTTTAAAAACTGTTCTGGGTGGGTTTTTCAGCGTGGTTTTGGGCTGGGTGGTGGGATTATGTTTCTATGCTGTGATGGGTCTTGCGGGGTTTGTTTCTTGGGGGGTTCCCCCCATTTCCAATGGGTCTTGTGGGGTTTGTTTGCTTTTTGTTTCCTCCCCCCATTTCCGATGGGTCTTGGGGGTTTGCTTGCTTTTTGGATTCCCACCCCCCATTTCCAATGGGTCTTGGGGGGTTTGTTTGCTTTTTGGTGGTTCCCCCCATTTCCGATGGATCTTGGGGGGGGGTTGCTTGCTTTTTGGGTTTTCCCCCTTTCCCATGGGTCTTGGGGGGGTTGTTTTTTGGGTCCCCCCCATTTTCGATGAGTCTGGCGTTAATCCAGAACGGATTAACTTCGTAAGTCAAGGCACCACTGTATAGGTTTTAGCGCTGTTGATCTTGTGAGGTAAGAATGGTACTAAAGAGAGGTAAGAGTTAGAAAATAAAAAGATAACATTTACTTAGTAACAAATGATAGAAATGCACTCAGAGATAAAAGATAAGAGCAGTATATGTATTAAAAGACTGATACATACTGACTTATTCAGATACATATTGACTTATTCAGATTTATTTTAAATATGAAATAAACTGCCTGAAAAGAATATTAGAACAGAAAATGAACTCTGAAGAAGTGGAACAATAGAAAGTTAAGATTAAGGGACAATACAATACAACAGGGATCACAGAATCATAGAGTTGGAAGGGGCCTATAATGCCATTGAGTTGAATTCCCTTCTTAATACAGGGATCCAATTAAAATATATCTGACAGATGGTTGTCTACTTTTCTCTTGAATGCTTCCAGTGTTGGAGCACTCAACATCTCATGAGGTAATTGGTTCCTTTGTCATACTTCTTTAACAGAAAATTTTTCATAATATTCAAACAAATCTGACTTCGTGTGACTTGAACCCATTATTACATGTCCTGCACTCTGGGATAATCGAGAACAGATTCTACTCTTCCTCTCTATGACCATCTTTCAAGTATTTGAAGAGTGCTATCACATGTCTCATCAGTTTTATTTTTTCAAAAGAAGCCCAGTTCTTTCAGTCTTTCCTCATAGGGCTTGGATTTCCAGTCCTCTGATCATCATTGTTGCCTTCCTCTGAACTTGCTCCAGTTTATCAGATTTTTTCTTAAAGTGCAGTGTCCAGAACTGGATATAGTACTTAAGATGAGGTTTAACCAGTGACAAATAGAGGGAGACTAGCGTTTTACTGGGTTTGGAGACTACATCTGTTAATACGGTCTAAAATAGCATTTGCCTTTTTTGCAGCTCTCTCACTGTTTGCTCATATTCAGCTTGTGCTCTACAATAAGTAAGGAATTCTTCTCACATGTAGTATTACTGAGCCAAGTATCCCTCATAGCTGTGCATTTATTTTTCCCCCTAGGTGTGGAACTTTGCACTTATCCCTGTTGAATTTCATTCTGTTGTTTCCAGCCCAGTGTTCAAGCCTATCAAGATCTTTTTGAATTTTGATTCTGTCTTCCATGGTGTTAGCTATTTCACCCAATTTTGTGTCATTGCAAATTTGATGAACATTCCCTGCACCCCCTCATGCAAATCATTAATAAAACTATTGAAGAGCACTGGGCCCAAGACTGAACATTGTTGTGCCCCACTTGTTACCTCCTTCCAGTTTAATAAGGAGCCATTGATAAGCACTCCTTGAATATGATTCTGTAGCCAACTGTGTATCCCCCTGACATTGCTATCCAGCCCACACCTAGTTAGCTTGCTGTGCAGAATATCACGGGGCACTTTGTCAAAAGCTTTGCTGAGGCCAAGATATATTATGTCTACAGCATTTCCACTGTCTATTAGAGAGGTCAAAAATGAGATAAGGTTAGTCTGGCAGGATTTGTTCTTAACAAGTCTGTGTTGATTTCTGGTTATTACTGCATTGTATTCAAGGTGCTTGTATAGCGTTGGCTTTATAATATGCTCTAGATGTTCCATGAGATTGACTGGTTGGTAGTGCCCAGGTTCTCCTTTTAATGTTTTTGAAGATATGGATAACATTAACCCTCCTGCCGTCATCTGGCACCTCACCCTTTTCCCATGATTTAAAGAAAATAATGGACAGTGGTTCTGATAGTTCTTCAGTCAATTCCTTCAATACTCCTGGATGCATTTCATGGGGCCCTGGAGATTTGAACTTGTTCAGAGTAATAAGCTATTCTTTGACTATTTGTTCATCAATCTCAAGCTGCAATCCTGTCCCCTCCACTTGTACTTCATATTTCCCAGGAGGGTCCTAGAGTGTCTTCAGAGGAAAAACTGATCTGAAGTAGGAATTGAGCACTTCTGCCTTTTCATTGTTATTACCTTTGTTTTTACCTTTTCTTTGTTAATTACCATTTTTTCCATCCACTTTGAGTAGCTGAGCCACTATTTTTCTTCTGTAACACATATACCTGAATAATGCTTTTTTGTTGCTCTTGCTAACCTTAGCTCATTTTCAGCTTTTCCATTCCTGACTCCATCCCTGCAGTTCTGTGCTACCTATTTGTAGTCTTCCTTTGTAGCCTGGCCTTAGTTCCACTTAGTATGTGCCCCCCCCCCCAGGGCCTCTGTGAGCCCAATGTGAAGCCACATTAGTCTTTTTTGCCAATTTTCACCATTTTTTCTTGCTGAAACTATTTGTAGTTGTGCCTTTAAAAATTTCTTTTTAAAGAAACTCACCCATCTTGGACTCCTTTTCTTGTTTTAAGATCTCCAGCCACAGATCTTACCTAAAACATTGTCCTGTGTATATTAAATTGGCTATCATAAAACCCAGCATACACATGCAGCTGCCATTCACTTTTGCTTCCTTTTAAATCAGGAACTCCAGTATAACTTTGTCTCTTTCCCCCAGAGTTCCCCTTACTGCCACTTCATCCACCAAGTCACCTCTGTTGCTTAGAACCAAATTCAAGATAGCTCATCCTCTAGTTTCTTTCTCCACTTTTTGTAAGAGAAAATTATCAGCCATGTTGATATAAAATTGTTGCAGGGTATACAGGAGTCTTTAACATAGATGCTTTTGCTCTTCATCAAATAGCTACCAATAAATTATGTATATTAATAAGTCCTACATTATATCTTTCACTAAACTAATTAAAGTTGCCAGCTGTACAACAGTTTGACTAAAGATTAAGAAAGGAAGACTTGAAGGTACCTGCCATTAAGAAGACAGAGATTCATATGAACTCAGATGAATATTGAGGAAGATTAATTTAGGGTATAAAGGCAAAACATTAAAAATAAAAAATCCAAGCATGCCATGCCTGAGACTGAACATTGTTGTGCCCCACTTGTTACCTCCTTCCAGTTTAATAAGGAGCCATTGATAAGCACTCCTTGAATATGATTCTGTAGCCAACTGTGTATCCCCCTGACATTGCTATCCAGCCCACACCTAGTTAGCTTGCTGTGCAGAATATCACGGGGCACTTTGTCAAAAGCTTTGCTGAGGCCAAGATATATTATGTCTACAGCATTTCCACTGTCTATTAGAGAGGTCAAAAATGAGATAAGGTTAGTCTGGCAGGATTTGTTCTTAACAAGTCTATTCAGCTTGTGCTCTACAATAAGTAAGGAATTCTTCTTACATGTAGTATTACTGAGCCAAGTATCCCTCATAGCTGTGCATTTATTTTTCCCCCTAGGTGTGGAACTTTGCACTTATCCCTGTTGAATTTCATTCTGTTGTTTCCAGCCCAGTGTTCAAGCCTATCAAGATCTTTTTGAATTTTGATTCTGTCTTCCATGGTGTTAGCTATTTCACCCAATTTTGTGTCATTGCAAATTTGATGAACATTCCCTGCACCCCCTCATGCAAATCATTAATAAAACTATTGAAGAGCACTGGGCCCAAGACTGAACATTGTTGTGCCCCACTTGTTACCTCCTTCCAGTTTAATAAGGAGCCATTGATAAGCACTCCTTGAATATGATTCTGTAGCCAACTGTGTATCCCCCTGACATTGCTATCCAGCCCACACCTAGTTAGCTTGCTGTGCAGAATATCACAGGGCACTTTGTCAAAAGCTTTGCTGAGGCCAAGATATATTATGTCTACAGCATTTCCACTGTCTATTAGAGAGGTCAAAAATGAGATAAGGTTAGTCTGGCAGGATTTGTTCTTAACAAGTCTGTGTTGATTTCTGGTTATTACTGCATTGTATTCAAGGTGCTTGTATAGCGTTGGCTTTATAATATGCTCTAGATGTTCCATGAGATTGACTGGTTGGTAGTGCCCAGGTTCTCCTTTTAATGTTTTTGAAGATATGGATAACATTAACCCTCCTGCCGTCATCTGGCACCTCACCCTTTTCCCATGATTTAAAGAAAATAATGGACAGTGGTTCTGATAGTTCTTCAGTCAATTCCTTCAATACTCCTGGATGCATTTCATGGGGCCCTGGAGATTTGAACTTGTTCAGAGTAATAAGCTATTCTTTGACTATTTGTTCATCAATCTCAAGCTGCAATCCTGTCCCCTCCACTTGTACTTCATATTTCCCTGAAGGGTCCTAGAGTGTCTTCAGAGGAAAAACTGATCTGAAGTAGGAATTGAGCACTTCTGCCTTTTCATTGTTATTACCTTTGTTATTACCTTTTCTTTGTTAATTACCAGTTTTTCCATCCACTTTGAGTAGCTGAGCCACTATTTTTCTTCTGTAACACATATACCTGAATAATGCTTTTTTGTTGCTCTTGCTAACCTTAGCTCATTTTCAGCTTTTCCATTCCTGACTCCATCCCTGCAGTTCTGTGCTACCTATTTGTAGTCTTCCTTTGTAGCCTGGCCTTAGTTCCACTTAGTATGTGCCCCCCCCCCCAGGGCCTCTGTGAGCCCAATGTGAAGCCACATTAGTCTTTTTTGCCAATTTTCACCATTTTTTCTTGCTGAAACTATTTGTAGTTGTGCCTTTAAAAATTTCTTTTTAAAGAAACTCACCCATCTTGGACTCCTTTTCTTGTTTTAAGATCTCCAGCCACAGATCTTACCTAAAACATTGTCCTGTGTATATTAAATTGGCTATCATAAAACCCAGCATACACATGCAGCTTCCCGGCCTTTTTTCCCGTTTGGTTGGTCCCCCCCCCCCAGGGCCTCTGTGAGCCCAATGTGAAGCCACATTAGTCTTTTTTGCCAATTTTCACCATTTTTTCTTGCTGAAACTATTTGTAGTTGTGCCTTTAAAAATTTCTTTTTAAAGAAACTCACCCATCTTGGACTCCTTTTCTTGTTTTAAGATCTCCAGCCACAGATCTTACCTAAAACATTGTCCTGTGTATATTAAATTGGCTATCATAAAACCCAGCATACACATGCAGCTGCCATTCACTTTTGCTTCCTTTTAAATCAGGAACTCCAGTATAACTTCGTCTCTTTCCCCCAGAGTTCCCCTTACTGCCACTTCATCCACCAAGTCACCTCTGTTGCTTAGAACCAAATTCAAGATAGCTCATCCTCTAGTTTCTTTCTCTACTTTTTGTAAGAGAAAATTATCAGCCATGTTGATATAAAATTGTTGCAGGGTATACAGGAGTCTTTAACATAGATGCTTTTGCTCTTCATCAAATAGCTACCAATAAATTATGTATATTAATAAGTCCTACATTATATCTTTCACTAAACTAATTAAAGTTGACAGCTGTACAACAGTTTGACTAAAGATTAAGAAAGGAAGACTTGAAGGTACCTGCCATTAAGAAGACAGAGATTCATATGAACTCAGATGAATATTGAGGAAGATTAATTTAGGGTATAAAGGCAAAACATTAAAAATAAAAAATCCAAGCATGCCATGCCTGATTAGCCTGTTTTCCTCTTCACATCTCTCACTATGTACAGTATCCTCTTCTGGATGGTGAATGACATGTTGCAAGGCAAAAAATTGAAAAGCCAGTTTTCCATCCCTTTTAAAGGAATGACTCGTTATCTGGGACTAATGTATTTTCAGATTGTATCCAAGTTACATGTGAGGCATGTTCAGGTTGCCCAGATCAGCTAGATTTAAAAGTACCATATTCTATATGCATTCCCATGCTGGTTTATGGTTCTCAACTGACTTTTAAGCTTTATCTCCATTTCTCTTTGCTACATCCCAGAATCCAGGCAGATGTCTGTGATCAAGAAAGATTTCTGTCTTGACCAGTGTTGTTCCCCAGTTCCCGTCTGTTCCATTGCTCTTGTATGCTTCTGTGCCCAGCCTCTCAAACCATCAAAACACATCCTTAACTATAGCTCTGTGTAATCTCATTATGCATGATTTCTCCATGATCTTCAGGATGTCAGCTGTGGAAAGATGGCCAGCGAGGATTTGGAGACTATGATCACTGTAGCCAGCAGGACGCAGTCAAAGGTGACCCTTAATGAGCTACTAGACACCCTAAAGCTATTGGAAGAGGAGCCAGAGTTGCTGCCACTACCAAAGGCCTGCAAGGAGGATAAATACGCTTGGATAGATGGGGTAATTAGACTTGAAGAGGTGAAGCCCATGTTACAGTGGGCTTGTATTGAATTGTGAACTGAAATGCTGTCCCAGTGTCCAAGATACCTGTTGTGGTATTGCTTATGTGTTTCGTCAGCTGTAAGATAAATAAAGCTGATGCAAGTTTCCCCTTATTATCTAGAAGCTGCTTTCATCCATTTACTTACATTTGCATCTGATCTGTGTTGGTTTTAAAGTGAATCAGTTGCCTAGATCATTTTATCTATTTGCACTGGTGTAAGATAAGTGGCATAACTTTTGGAGGATAATTGTTCCAAGTTAAGAAAACACTGTAGACATTGTCAGTTGCATATTGAGTTGTATGACTCCTTGTGCAACTGATAACCTCTACAGTGATTTCTTGGGGCAATTAGCCTCCAAAAGTTATGCTATTTGTGTGGCTACACAAAAAAGTTTTAGCCAAAATTTGGCCAAAACATTCACAAGTACAGGCTGATATCCATAGCTATTGTATTTTTTTAAGAAAACACTGTAGACATTGTCAGTTGCATATTGAGTTGTATGACTCCTTGTGCAACTGATAACCTCTACAGTGATTTCTTGGGGCAATTAGCCTCCAAAAGTTATGCTATTTGTGTGGCTACACAAAAAAGTTTTAGCCAAAATTTGGCCAAAACATTCACAAGTACAGGCTGATATCCATAGCTATTGTATTTTTTTTATTGACAACTATTCTTTGACTATTTGTTCATCAATCTCAAGCTGCAATCCTGTCCCCTCCACTTGTACTTCATATTTCCCAGGAGGGTCCTAGAGTGTCTTCAGAGGAAAAACTGATCTGAAGTAGGAATTGAGCACTTCTGCCTTTATTGTTATTACCTTTGTTATTACCTTTTCTTTGTTAATTACCAGTTTTTCCATCCACTTTGAGTAGCTGAGCCACTATTTTTCTTCTGTAACACATATACCTGAATAATGCTTTTTTGTTGCTCTTGCTAACCTTAGCTCATTTTCAGCTTTTCCATTCCTGACTCCATCCCTGCAGTTCTGTGCTACCTATTTGTAGTCTTCCTTTGTAGCCTGGCCTTAGTTCCACTTAGTATGTGCCCCCCCCCCCAGGGCCTCTGTGAGCCCAATGTGAAGCCACATTAGTCTTTTTTGCCAATTTTCACCATTTTTTCTTGCTGAAACTATTTGTAGTTGTGCCTTTAAAAATTTCTTTTTAAAGAAACTCACCCATCTTGGACTCCTTTTCTTGTTTTAAGATCTCCAGCCACAGATCTTACCTAAAACATTGTCCTGTGTATATTAAATTGGCTATCATAAAACCCAGCATACACATGCAGCTGCCATTCACTTTTGCTTCCTTTTAAATCAGGAACTCCAGTATAACTTTGTCTCTTTCCCCCAGAGTTCCCCTTACTGCCACTTCATCCACCAAGTCACCTCTGTTGCTTAGAACCAAATTCAAGATAGCTCATCCTCTAGTTTCTTTCTCCACTTTTTGTAAGAGAAAATTATCAGCCATGTTGATATAAAATTGTTGCAGGGTATACAGGAGTCTTTAACATAGATGCTTTTGCTCTTCATCAAATAGCTACCAATAAATTATGTATATTAATAAGTCCTACATTATATCTTTCACTAAACTAATTAAAGTTGCCAGCTGTACAACAGTTTGACTAAAGATTAAGAAAGGAAGACTTGAAGGTACCTGCCATTAAGAAGACAGAGATTCATATGAACTCAGATGAATATTGAGGAAGATTAATTTAGGGTATAAAGGCAAAACATTAAAAATAAAAAATCCAAGCATGCCATGCCTGATTAGCCTGTTTTCCTCTTCACATCTCTCACTATGTACAGTATCCTCTTCTGGATGGTGAATGACATGTTGCAAGGCAAAAAATTGAAAAGCCAGTTTTCCATCCCTTTTAAAGGAATGACTCGTTATCTGGGACTAATGTATTTTCAGATTGTATCCAAGTTACATGTGAGGCATGTTAAGGTTGCCCAGATCAGCTAGATTTAAAAGTACCATATTCTATATGCATTCCCATGCTGGTTTATGGTTCTCAACTGACTTTTAAGCTTTATCTCCATTTCTCTTTGCTACATCCCAGAATCCAGGCAGATGTCTGTGATCAAGAAAGATTTCTGTCTTGACCAGTGTTGTTCCCCAGTTCCCGTCTGTTCCATTGCTCTTGTATGCTTCTGTGCCCAGCCTCTCAAACCATCAAAACACATCCTTAACTATAGCTCTGTGTAATCTCATTATGCATGATTTCTCCATGATCTTCAGGATGTCAGCAGTGGAAAGATGGCCAGCGAGGATTTGGAGACTATGATCACTGTAGCCAGCAGGACGCAGTCAAAGGTGACCCTTAATGAGCTACTAGACACCCTAAAGCTATTGGAAGAGGAGCCAGAGTTGCTGCCACTACCAAAGGCCTGCAAGGAGGATAAATACGCTTGGATAGATGGGGTAATTAGACTTGAAGAGGTGAAGCCCATGTTACAGTGGGCTTGTATTGAATTGTGAACTGAAATGCTGTCCCAGTGTCCAAGATACCTGTTGTGGTATTGCTTATGTGTTTCGTCAGCTGTAAGATAAATAAAGCTGATGCAAGTTTCCCCTTATTATCTAGAAGCTGCTTTCATCCATTTACTTACATTTGCATCTGATCTGTGTTGGTTTTAAAGTGAATCAGTTGCCTAGATCATTTTATCTATTTGCACTGGTGTAAGATAAGTGGCATAACTTTTGGAGGATAATTGTTCCAAGTTAAGAAAACACTGTAGACATTGTCAATTGCATATTGAGTTGTATGACTCCTTGTGCAACTGATAACCTCTACAGTGATTTCTTGGGGCAATTAGCCTCCAAAAGTTATGCTATTTGTGTGGCTACACAAAAAAGTTTTAGCCAAAATTTGGCCAAAACATTCACAAGTACAGGCTGATATCCATAGCTATTGTATTTTTTATTGACAACTCACACATGAAATACTTCTGTTGCCTTCTGCCACTGCTGTCCATATCTGATCGACACCTGACATTTTTGCTCTCAACCTAGGACACAAATTCCCTGACTGCTGACAACCTGGAGAAGTTTGGGAAACTGAACTGCACTCCAGGTGTCCCTGAGGAAGGCACACTGCTCTCTGAAGCAAAACTTCAGAGCATCATTCTTCTGTTGTCTTCTGCCACTGCTGTCCATATCTGATCGACACCTGACATTTTTGCTCTCAACCTAGGACACAAATTCCCTGACTGCTGACAACCTGGAGAAGTTTGGGAAACTGAACTGCTCTCCAGGTGTCCCTGAGGAAGGCACACTGCTCTCTGAAGCAAAACTTCAGAGCATCATTAGCTTCTTGGATGAGATGGAAAAATCTGAGCAGGAGCGACCTAGGTCTGCTGCCTCTGCTTCACAACGGGAGGTAAGCCCAAAAGACATGAGACTTATTTTTTACAGAGGTAGAGATGGTGACTTTGCAAAAAATGGATATTTATCTCTAGCTGCAAGGCAAAAAGAGGGTTTGTAAGCTCCTATGTTAAGATGGGATATGGACTGCATCTTTATTCTTTCTTGGCTTCTCTCCAGCATTAATGGATAGCCTTTTTTCTCACTGTACGGCCATTAAGAAATATTGAATAATTGGATCTCACCATTTTTTCTTGCTGAAACTATTTGTAGTTGTGCCTTTAAAAATTTCTTTTTAAAGAAACTCACCCATCTTGGACTCCTTTTCTCTGCCACAGATAGTGAAGCATGTGTTTCTGCAACCAGAACAGTGTGCACTGGCACAAAGAGAAATAAGTATATGTACACATGATATTTTAAAAACCTTATGTGAGAAGAAAAAAGAAAACCATACATACATTTAGATCCAGCAGAATAAACAAGGAAAAAGAATGGTCGTACTGTCTCATTTCAGAAATTTACAAAGTCCTAGAGTATTTCTAGGGAGATGTGGTGGTGTTGTGGGTTAAACCACAGAAGCCTCTGTGCTGCAAGGTCAGAAGACCTGCAGTCGTAAGATCAAATGCACACGATGGAGTGAGCTCCTGTCGTTAGTGCCAACTCCCGCCAACCTAGCAGTTCGAAAGCATGCAAATACAAGTAGATAAATAGGTACCACAACGGTGGGAAGGTAATGACGTTCCATGTCTAGTCGCGCTGGGCACGTGACCATGGAGTATTGTCTGCAGACAAACGCTAGCTCTGTGGGTTGGAAACAAAGATGAGCACCACCCCCTAGAGTCGGACACAACTGGACAAATTGTCAAGGGGAACCTTTACCTAGAGTATTTCTACCCTTATAACAGGGTGCTGAGAGAGGCAGGGTCTGAGCCTCATTTTTACCCTGTTCCCTTCTCTTTGTTGGTTGCCACACCTATCAGGGACTTTTGTCAGAGGAAGAGCTAGCCCACCTGGAACAGGCATCAGCAGTTGCCACAGAGGTCACCAGTTCCATCATGAGGTTGAAGCTTGAAGTGGAAGAAAAGAAAAGAGCCATTACTTTACTACAGACAGCACTGGTGGGTGATCATAGCCTAATTCCTAGACATATGTGCATGTGCTAGAGAAGAGGGAGCTGATGTTAAATAGTGTGGCAGAACCCAGGATATAGCAGTGCTACATTATAGATCTCAAGTCTGAGCAAGAAGAGAGGAAGAACCCTACCATATCTGCTAGCTCCAGCTTCTCTAGTCTGGGTTTGTGAAGCCTGGCTCAGCCATGAGCATTCACACAGGCAGGTTTTCTTTCTAGACATGAGCATGTCCGTGATCTTGGCAACCATCACCTCTTTGTCCTGAGATGTAATTTGACAACTCTGCATAGCCTAACTTCTGGGTGCCCTTAAAGTGCCTTGGTTGTTGTCCCCTGTCCTGGCAGGCTCAGCAACGGGAGCTGACTGTGCGGCATGTAAAAGAAACAGAGAAGGAGTTGGGCCACCAGCTGACTCTACAGAGGGAGCAGTATGAGGCAGCTATCCAGCGGCACCTGGCCTTCATTGACCAGGTAACACCCACCTTTTATGTGTGTGACGTTCACCACATGGCCCCTGCTTGTTTCCCCGAAACAAAGGGCTCATGCTATGTCCTTCCACCTGCAGATACCAATTGTGACATTCTCTCTTTTCCTCACTGCCACCAGTGGATTTCCTTTATCCACAATGTAAAAGACTTTAGTCAAACACTTGTCAGGTTACTGCCAACAGAACTTGTTTATTAAAGTGTATTATATTAGAATCACAGATGTTCTTTATTCAGTGGATACAATCAAATCATTAGAATATCATATATCTTGCCACATAACCAATCACCACCTGCTCTAACTACAGCGATGCCTCACAAGACGAACGCCTCGTGCAACAAAAAACTTGCAAGACAAATGCATTTTGCGATTTTTTTGTGTGACTTGCAAGACGAATTTTTCTATGGCCATGCTTCGCAAGATGAATTTTTTCCAATATATTCCTATCGGAAATGCATTGAAATGCATTCCTGTAGGAAAATTCACAAGATGAAATTTTCGCAAAACAAAATGACTTACGGAATGAATTATTTTCGTCTCGCAAGGCATCACTATACAGTATTTATCTTGACTAGCTTAGCTCTATTAGTATCTGCTCTCACTATCTCCCTCACTGTCTCTCTCTCTGCAAATTCTCCTTTCTCTCTCTCTCTTTTCTGCCAAACCTTCTTATATCCGCTGATTCTGCCCCTCCATTCCTTTCATAGGCTCATGCAAATTAGATCCTGAATATGAGTGACGTGGGGCAATTGTCACAATGTGTTTTAACTAGTCAGAGCTGGGAAGTTGGAGACATTACCCTACGTCTTGTGGTTTCAGTCTCTTTTCTGGGCTTGCTTGGATTGCTAGCATCTCCACACTTCAAAACCTCTCCAGCAAGTCAAGGTGTAATGGTTGACTAGAATTGGTGGGTGGTAGAGTTCTGTTTCTGCTTGCCCCTTGGATAAGATGGCAGCTATTTTGGTAGGTTTGTGTGTCATGATAGTATGTACAATTGCTGGTCTATGCTCTCAATCTCTGTTCCTTGCTTTTCTTTTGTATCAATCATTTCAGCTCATTGATGATAAGAAAACCCTAAGTGAGAAATGTGAAGCAGTGGTGGCTGAACTGAAGCAAGTGGATCAGAAGTACACAAAGAAAATTGCCCAGATGCAAGAGCAGCATGAGTTGGTGAGGAAAATGGCACCGGTACTGGAGATGGGAGTACTGCAAAGCATTCATTCATTTGTAGCCTAGCATTTGTCATATGGGCTAAGGGTGGTTGACAATCTGCCTCCCTTAAAAAAATACAGTTAACATCAGGAATTACTGATATCTAACATAACAAATACTGTATCTAAAATATTTAGAAATGAGAAATGGGTATGAAAATATAACAGAAACCAGTAGAAGATAAGAGTATTTGAATGGTTTACATTTGGTTCACGGACTGAAGCTGTGGGAAGCGGGAAGCAGTGTTTTGTTTTTTTGCCTTCAGTTTGGAGTTCTCTAGAAAGCATAAAAACATCAGTGAAGAGAATCATGGGAGCTACAGAATGTTGTGGGAGAGGGAAATCCTAAAGCTGTCTATAATACAGAAGTTCTTTTTGTCATACAAAGAGTTCTACAGTGCAGAAATAGATTTATTTCCATTTCATCTTATAATCTTTATCATGGGGAAACCTCCAGCTGCACACTAATAACTGAAAAAAAATCTCAGCTAAATCCAGCAGAATACTTTTTCCATTTCATATTGGATACTCTGCACTTGACTGCCTAAATATGCCAGTGTGTATTGTGTAGTGGCTGATTCTTAAGTATTGCTGTATTTTCCTGTGTATAAGATGATACTTTTGTCTAAAATCTTTAGATTAAAAATTGAGAGTTGTCTTATACACGGAAGTAAAAGGAGGGGGAAGGGATCAAAGCGCTTTGATAATTCCTGCCTTCCCCCTCCACTTTCTTGTGAAAAAAGTGGAGGAGGAAATCACTTTCTTTGCAAGAAAGTGGAGGGGGAAGCAGGAATTATCAAAGTGCTTTGATCCTTCTTTCCCTCTCCACTTGCTAAGCCCTGCTTAGATTTCTTAATTTCGTGTTTGAAAAGGAGGGGTCTTATACACAGAAAAATACAGTACAGTGGTGCCTCGCTTAACGAGCGCTTCGTTTAACGACGAATTCGCTTAGCGATGGCTTTTTCAGAGCGATCTTGCACTCCGTTTAACGATGTTCCCTATGGGCGATTTTTGCATAGCGATGTTTGGGACCATGCTTCGCATAGCGATGATAGTTTGGGTCCCCCTGTTTCGCTTAACGTTGGTTTTGACAGCCTGCTGTTGGCTGTTTTTTATATGTTTAAAAATGTTTTAATAATGTTTAGAATGCTTGAAATCATAAGTGCACTTAATAAACCCTTTGCTAAACTAATTTGACTTTGTTCCGACTCTTTTTCAATTCGTTGTAATTTTTTCCCCCATTGAGATGCATTGAATAGGTTTCAATGCATTTCAGTTGGGGAACCGTGTTTCGCTTAGCGATGTTTCCTGTGACGATTTTCGCTTAAGGACGGCAGTCCGTTCCCATTGGAACGGATTATCTGGTTTTCAGTGCATTTCTATGGGAAACCATGTTTCGCTTAGCGATGTTTTCCCAAAGCGATGAATTTTTTGGAACCAATTAACATCGCTAATCGAGGCATCACAGTATATGTACAGTGGTGCCCAGACCTATGAACATTTTGACTTACGAACAGCTCCGGCCGCACAATTTTGCTTTGACTTGCGGCCGGAGCTTTGACCTGCGAACGGGAAAAGGCAGGGGAAAAAGGTGGGAAATTCAAAAAACCTAACCATTGGCGGCAAAGAGGCTGCTTCTTTGTAGCTCTTTTGCCTCAACAGTTAGGGAAAGGGAGGCTCAGCCTCCCAGGCTTCCGGCGCCACTGCCATCGCTGCCTTCAGAGGCCTCCCGAGGCTTCCCCACCACCATGGGAGACCTCCCAAGGGGTCCCTCGGTGCCACCGATCTACCCCCTGGGAAAGCCTGAAGGGAGCAATCAGCGATGGCGGGGGACCCCCAGGTCTCCCATGGCGGCAGGGAAGCCCTGGAGACCTCCAAAGGTGGGGATCTGTGGTGCTGAGGAGGTATGTTTCTGTGCTTTGTCGTTTGTTTGTTTTTGCAGTCCTAGCTTGTGTTTTATTTTTATTTATTTTTTATTTTTTGGTATTTTTTTCTTCGGTTGGAACGGATTAATCGGTTTTCAATGCATTCCTATGGGAAATGGTGCTTTGACTTAACGTTTTGACTTACGGCCACTGTTCCAATACAGATGAAGTTCGTAAGTCAAGGCACCATTGTATTTAAATATCATGGCATTTTTAGTAAACAAAGAATGACTTTTAGCATCCTGATCTGAGCAAGACAGCTGTCCTTAAGCTCAAATGAACATTATTTATATTTGGAATAGCATCGACTCTTTTAACTATGATTGGAAAGCTGTTCAATAAAGCTTAGACCTCTTTAAAAGGAAATGCTCAGCTCAGCCAGATATTTGAGGTCAGAGGAGCCAATGCCAAGGGGCATTTTTATTTGTTATCTTTTTGTTGTGTTCAGAGGATACATGTTATGGTCAAAAAATTTTCTTAGTCTGGATTTATACTGAATTAATTCTGATGAAACACCCTGTGTTCTATGCCAGTTTGTCCTCCTTATGCAGAAGGAAACTGGATAAGAATTAGTTGTTGAACGTAGTGTCTAATGCTAATGCACGTTAGATTGTCACTCTTCTCTATTGGATAAAATGAGTTCACATCAGCATGGCTGTTGGTATTGCATTGACAATATACTATGAAAGATTTATAGCCAAATGGGGATGTCTTACCATTTCTAAACAAGTGAGTTTATCCTAGCAAGGCGTGTACAAACTGTCTCCTGGGAACATGCCTAGAAAGGGCAGAAGAAGTGGAAGTCAGCTTTAGAAAGAAAATAGACCCACCAGATTTGGTTTATTTTGAAGATAGCAATAAGTATTTAAGGAAAGACGTAAAATGCTCTAAGAGACAATTTTAGAACTACTACTCTGAATTGCCCCAGCCCTTCTTTCGTGAATTACTAGCTCATGATGTTCACAGATCAGAAATCTCAAAGGCTTTGGATAGGCATCTGGTTGCCCATTGTGGGAAATAGGATGCCAGCCTAGATAGCATTTTACTTGATACATGAGAGGCCTTAGATTTTTATCTTTGTAACTAATGCAAAGTGTTTCATAACATTAGAGGTGAGATTGTGTGGATGCCGTGATAGCATTTTTTTTTTGTATGATCCATCTCATTGCAAGATTGTCATGATTTTTTATTATGCTTGAATGGGAAACTTCAGATAGAGAGGGATGACCATCAGTTAAAAATTGCCATATACAAAGCTGCTTATGCAAAAGAAGTTCTTCTGCGTGGTTTTGGTGTTTTCCTTCTTTCGCATGGGCTTCCTACCAGAGGTGGAAGCCTCTTAGTACTTGAATTCATCTCACTGTGGGAGAGGCTGTAAACTGATGCTGTAGCCCAGCTGCTTTGTTTGTCAGAAGAGAATGTGTTCAAGGGACTCTCTACATATGGAGGGAGTTCCTGTTCTGTGCTTCCACTGCCCTCTTTTTCCCTACACTTTTTAGCTTACCCTCCTTTCTGTTTCCCTCTGGCTCTCACCTCTCCCTCTTTCTCTCTAGGTCTGGCGCATTCTGGGCCCCCTCTGTGAGGTAAATCTTTCCTGTGCATGTTGTTTCGCTTCAGGCTTTCATCTTCTGGATCCTATAAGTGCAGCTCTTCTTGAATTCTTTAGGTGTAACCAGGCCTTCCTTTTCCTTGGAGATATAGGTAAATTAGGTCTTGCTGCCTGGGACAAAGAGCTGTCCCTTGACAATAACACCCTGTGGATATCTGTCTTGGTGTTTTTCTGAGATGTCAGCCATGAGAGGGAACATTTCTTGGTTCCTATTCTCATGGCCCTAATGAACATTTGGTCAGCATTCTTCCCATGCTTTTGTATGTGTAAGTACCAGACACACATTTTCGGAAGTAGCATAGAATAGTGGATGGATCAGATTAAAATCCCAACCCATTCATAAAATTCACTGGGTGGACTTCAGCAAGACTGGACACAGATAATGGTGATGACAGATGAAGGAAAGGGCTGCTATCTAGTGTTCACTTATGGCCCCCTCACATTCTGTGACTGGGCAGTTTCATTGCAGCACTTGTGTCAGTATTATCTGAAGAAGATGCATCTGATCTGAGATTTCCCTCCCCCTTGCAACCTCCACACACAGGAAATAAAGAAATTAAAGGAACTCATGAGTGCCACAGAAAAAATCCGCCGGGAGAAATGGATTGATGAGAAAACCAAGAAGATCAAAGAGATCACTGTTAAAGGTATTCATGGACTTGTAATGTTGGATTATTATAACAAGATATGACTTCTAAGTAGGGGGACAGCAGAACTGAGTCTAGTTAAATCTGTTGCTTTCTTGCTGCTGAGCAGAGGCTGACAACATTGTGCCTGATTTTGTAGCTGTAGGAATGGTTCCAAGCCCTGGATCAGCATTCTGACACAGAGGATAATCTATGGGGTTTGTTTGGTGGTCTTCCTTTTGTAAGGAATATGAAGGAGACATTGCTCCTATTACTGGGCTCAGGTCAGATTGTTCTTCAGTATTCTATTTCCAGGGATCATATTTTGTCATCACATTGTTGTATGGAAATAAGGTTCAAGGCAGCTAAATCAAATGCTTTTTAAGGTTGCAAGAATTTTAATATCCTTATAGTAGATAGGAAGTCTCTGTCATCCAGTGAGTATGCTGGCACTTTTATTTTTAGCCTAAAGATACCAATGTGCAATGATTTCTTGAACATTAATGGTGTACTACAAATAAAAACACATATCTGTATAGAATATTTAATGTATTGTGTTTTATTTGAATATTTATGCTTCCGCAAATTTCAGCTATTTTAGTAAAAAGATCATACAGGTATAACAATGGCATATGACAAACTGGAGGGTTCACTTGCTCTGCCAGTGCCCTACTGCCTCTCTCCCTTTCTTATATGTGTGGAATTCACAATAATCTCGTGGTCACTTTCCACTCTCTTTCCATTCAGGTCTGGAACCCGAGATCCAGAAACTCATTGCCAAACACAAGCTAGAAATAAAAAAGCTGAAAGCACTGCATGAGGCAGAGCTACTGCAGTCAGATGAACGGGCAGCACAGCGCTACGTCCGCCAGACTGAGGAGCTGAGGCAGATGTTGGAGCATGAGAAGGAAGAGTTGGGGCAGCGAGAAAGAGAGCAAGCAAGGCAACGGTATGGAGGGGAGCCTACATGACCACTATATAGGAAGGAATGGGAAAATGGAAGAGGGCTGTAGCAATGGTGGAAAGGAAAACCCGGCAACTATGCCTTCAGGTAGTCATCATAATTTTTCATTCCATTTCTCTGCTGAGAAACAGTATTGGGGGCGGTCTGCCAGTCTTGGTGTCAAAGGGCCTTGGGAGATAAATGATGTTGCACTGTGGAGGAAGGCAGCAAGTAGACAATGTGGAATGTAGATGGCATTCTCTGAAGTATTGTTTGGACAGCTCCATTTATTCTTATAGTACTTTTATTACTCAAGGCTGCCTCTTGGGTGTGCCTCAGAGCTTCCCCTTTCCAAAGGGCTCCTCATTTCCTGAAGGAGATGCAGTTACTCTCTTCTGTATGAGGCGTCATGGCTGATTTATTTAGCTTCTTATTTCTTGCAAAGGGCCAGTCTGTCCTCTTCCATTTTCTCTTAGGAGAGGAAACGATTGGCCTTGTTGCTTTCACCAAATACTGGGCAAAGCTCCCAGGACCCTTTCTGAAAGAGCCCCTCTGTGCAGGTATGAGAAGCAACTGGAGCAGGAGGAGCAGGTTCTGCAGCAACAGCGGCGACGGCTGTACAGTGAAGTGGCTGAAGAGAAAGAGAGGCTCAATCAGCAGGCAGCCAGGTGAGAGAATACAGGTTGGGTCTTTATGGTTTGACAGTCCTGTTTGCTCTTGCCATACAGCATGCCAAAAACTCACTTGGTACCGGAATCTTACATGCTACTGCTAACATGAACAAACCTGTTGTGTATGGTTTTTATCCTCATCATCTTCTACCAAAGGAACTAGTGGGAGTCTTAGTCCTAGCAGACACATTTGCAGATTGGCTTCTTATCGTGCAGTGTATTGTAAGATACTGTATTAGAAAAATAGTCCTATGTCGGCTTCCCGTGCTGGAAGACTAGCTAAGAACAGAATGAAATTCTGATTTCCTGCATCTCTCCAAGAAAGTGAGGTTTACCCTACTCCACAATTATCTTGCTAACCAGGAGTTTGTTAATTTTATGGCATTGATCTGTGCTTCACAGGCAGAGAGCTGAGTTGGAGGATCTGCGGCGGCAGCTGGAAGAGAATAGTTCTGTTGTCACCAAAGCTTTGAAGGAGGAGTATGAGAAAGGGAAGGAGGAGCAGGATCGACGCCATCAGGTCTGTGTTACTTAGCAATTGGGAACATTTTTGTTCTATGCCCTCACATACTAACAGCTGGAAGCTTTCTCACTTCTAATTTTCATACTATCCACTATCCTCAGTTGAAACTCTATCATGTAAATTGTATTTAAAGTTCCTGTTAATCAGATGGCCTCCTTCCCAGGAAAGAAATTATTCCACGTTATGGTAAAAAGTCTCTGAAATTGGCCTTCTACATGTTGACAGGTGCATTTTTCATAGGAGAAATGGACATGCTGGTCAGCACAGAAGTAGGCTGACTCTTCCCTAGTTGTGATCTGGATAAATTTTTCTAGTACAGGTCACCAGAAAGACTTTTCACCCCACAGTTAACACCAGAGATGTCCAGATTTGTGCTTTTGGACTGCAACCAACCCTGCATAAGCCCAACAAAGCAAAAGGTAAATGTTACTTCCTGAGGAACCTTCCGATCATCCATCGCTATCGGCTCAGCGAGACCTCTCTCCAACTCCAGACATTTCCTGTGCATTTCAACCCTGATACCAACAATTCTGATACTGAAACCAGGAAAGATTCTCCACCCAACATTCCAACACCGGACTCAGATGTCGCGGAAAACCACCCGCCATCTCCTTTGGAGGACTTCACATCATATACCCAACTGATTTTCCATATAGCTAAGGTCATGGACCTTGCTGTTGACCAACCAGCACCAGAGGAGTCCAATAAGGTCTATGAGGACATTACTCTAGACCAGATCCCACCACTTTGCCTAGCCTTTATCTCTTCTCTTTTCAAACTTATTAAAGAATCGTGGAAGAAGCCATCTTCTGTTCCTCAGATTCCCAGGACAGTCGGAAACCTTTACAAAACCCATGGTGCCACTACCATCTTTCTTTCTAAGCATCCTCTCCCTAACTCATTTATTGTGGATGCTACTCAAAATAGAGCTAAAAATCGCTGTGTCTCCACCCCCAACAATCGTGAAGGTAGGAAATTGGATGTCATAGGCCGTCAGGTATATTCTCTTGCCTCCTCCATCCTAAGGGTAGCTAATTATAGAGCTTCGATGGGAGCCCACCATCGCCATCTTTGGAACAGAGCACTACTGTGGCGTTCGCCCCTCGTGCCCCTGCCTGACTCTCCAAACACAGAGCACACGAAGGCAAACTAATACTCCTTTTTCCCCGCTGCCACTTGATCACTAAATCAACATTAATTATGGAAGGATGAAGATGTAGGTCCAAACTTCACAATCTTTTAAATAAAACTTGTTTATTGATTACAGATGTTTGATTATTAATCATAGGTACCTTCTACAGATTTATTGATCATCAGTCTCAACCTTCTATTTGTTATACAGTTCTTGTTCACTCCTCACTCTAATCACACCTTAGATCTCCCAAATACCACACTCTATCTCCCTCTCCACTCTGACTCACTGACCGACCCAGTTTCACTCTCTGACTCCGCCTCTTTATTACATATCTCTCAGCTCCGCCTCTTAGCAACATTAGCCTGCAACATGAATATGCATGACTACATAACCTAATAAGGGTGAATGCTACAACTACCTATTTTCCAGGCTGCTTCGGAAGGTCTGCGTTCTTGAGACCTCTCTTTTCATCAGGAGGCCATGACCCTTGCTCACCAGGAGAGAATTGCAGCACACCATGTGGTAGATGCCACGTCCACACAAATGGCCACAGCCATAGCGCTACATCGCCATGCATGGCTAAGATCTGCCGGCATATCCAACGATGCATGGTCTAGAATTGAAGATCTACCTTTTGATGGCCTCAGTCATTTTGATGAAAAGACTGATGAAATACTAGACAAACTTCAAAAGCTAAGGAGAACTGCAAGATCATACAATACTCAACACTATTGCTCACAGAATTTTTGGCACTGCCCCTATACTTACCACCAGTATAGACCTCAGCTGGATTGCCAATGACCACAACCTGCCAACACATCTACTTTCTCCTTTTGCCAGCAAACTGCAGGAAGTCTGTCCATACACCTGAGATGAAGACAAAACATAATCTTTGACTTCCCAACCCTGCACATACATACTCCCCCACCAATACCAGATACTTAACACACACAGCTGGCACCCTTTCTCTACACATGGTAACGCATCACATCAGATGCCTGGGTCCTTACTATCATCACTGTAGGCTATGCAGTAGAATTCATTTGTCTCCCCCAACTGGATTCTTCAAAAACTCCACCCTTTCTCCCGCCCTAGAAAAGGAGATATATTCCCTACGATAAAGGATGCCATTACTCTAGTCCAACATGCAGACATTGCCCTACGGTTCCACTCCCGCTACTTTGCAGTCTCAAAAAAGGATGGTGGACTACAACCCATCTTAGATCTCCGCCACCTCAACTCTTACATTACCCCACACCATTTTGTATGATCACCTTGGACAGTACCATTAAACTACTCCAACAAGGCAATTGGTTCGTGGTCATAGATTTAAAGGTCATATATTTACTTACACATAAACATACATTTGGATCACCACAGATTCCTTAGGTTCACTTTCCAAGGATACGAATTCAAAGCCCTCCCATTTGGTTTGTCCACCGCACCAAGGGTCTTTACGAAGTGTTTTGCTGTGGTAGCAGAATACCTCCCCTCCAAGGCATCACCATCTTCCCATATTTGGCCGACTGGCAGCTCTGGGACTTCAGGCCAACCTACCCAAGTCAATCCTCGAGCCTTCCCAGCGAGTTACATACATAGGAGCAGTACTCAACTCCATTCAAGGCCGAGCTTTCCTGCCGAATGAGAGACTAATAAGTCTTCATTCTCTCCTACAATTTTTCTTACCAGATGCAGTTGTTACATCTAACCCAGCATCTCTTTGGCCTGATGGACTACACCACAACAGTTGTGCAACATGCCCATCTCCATTCATTCATTCATTCATTCATTCATTCAGCTTCTATACTGCCCATCTGACTACTAGGCCACTCTGGGCAGTTTACATGTTAGACAAATAAAACATACACTATACAAACAATGAACATAGTAATACAAAATAAAAATAAAACAACCAACAATTTAAATAAAATAGTTAAAATAATATAAAATAATCTAGACCACTGGTTCTTAACCCTGGGTTACTCAGGTGTTTTTGGACTGCAACCCCCAGAAGCCTTCAGCACCAGCTATGCTGGCTGGGGTTTCTGGGAGTTGCAGTTCAAAAACATCTGAGTAACAGAGGTTAAGAACCACTGATCTAGAGCAAGATAGCAGGATTGATAGTATAAATGTTGACACCACTTACTGTAATTAGGTTTTATAATTAAGATGTCAGGTTCAGGAAGGCCTCCCGGAAAAGCCATGTTTTTAGTAGTCACTTAAAAATTCCCAGGCGGATTTTGGGTGGGAGCTTATTCCAGAGCCAAGGAGCAACTGCCAAAAAGGCCCTGTTTCTGGTTCTCTCTTTCCAGGCCTCTCTTGCAGTCAAAACTCTCAACCACCTAGCCTGGGAAGATTGAATGGGATGGGCAGATCTCGTGGGGAGGAGGCGTTCTGTCAGGTATCAAGGTCCTAAACCATTTAGGGCTTTATAAGTTACCTTGAAGCTGGCATGGAAACAGACAGGTAACAAGTGCAGGGTGGGAGAAATATGTTGATGTTTCTTAACACCACTCAGTAATCTGGTTGCCGTGCTCTGGACCTGCTGAAGTTTCCGTAACAGCCTCATGGGAAGCCCCATGTAGAGAGCATTACAGTAGTCTATTCTCAAGACCAGCAGTGCATAAACCAGTGTGGTGTCGAGGTAGAGATGCAGCTGGGCAATCTGCCTTAGGTGGAAGTAGGCAGAACAGACCACAGATGCTATCTGAGGTTCCATTGATCACCCTGGGTGATCCAGTAGTACACCCAAGATGTGAACCTCATCCTTAGAGGAGAGAGTACCCCCAAAAAGGAGAGGGAAGCACCCAATCCACAAACACTAGGGGCGCCCACCCTCAGGACCTCCGTCTTGCCCGGGTTCAGCCTCAGTCTATTATCCCTCATACACCGCAGTGTGGCATCCAGGCAGTGCTCAAGGGATGGAACAGCATTCTCTGCAGAAGGGTGGAAGGAGAGATAGAGCTGGGTGTCATCCGCATATTGGTGACACGAAGCTCCAAAGCTCCTTATTATCTCCCCAGGGTCCTCATATAGATATTAAACAGCATTGAGATGATCGACCCCTGAGATACTCTACAGTCAAGGGTCCAAGGGGTGGACATCATCTTGCCAAACTGTACTGAGAACAGTCCTTGAAGAAGGATTGGAATCGGACCAAGGCCAGACGATCGATCTCCAACTCAGAGAGCTGCCCCAGGAGGATATCAAAGGCTGCTGATAGGTTGAGGAGGACTAGCAAGGACATTTTGCCCCCATCAGTCTGTCCCAAAAGGTCATCTCGCAGGGTGATCAATGCCGTCTCTGTGCCATGGTGCAGCCTGAAAACAGATTGGAAAGGATCAAGGTCATGTCTCCTCCAGGAGTGCCTGAAGCTGATCAGCCACCACTCTCTCTACTAGCTTGCTGAGGAAGGGAACATTGGCAACAGGCCAATAGTTCTTTATATTGTCCACTGGCAAGTTAGGCTTTTTATGGATAGGTTTGAAAATTGTCTCTTTGAGGGCTTGGGGAACCCTGCCCTCAAGGGGAGACCAATTAATAATAGTCATAGCCCATTCTGTTGCTACCAGTCTTGCCACTTTTCTGAGCCAGGCTGGGCAAGGATCTAGGGAGATAATGGTTCCCTACAGCGCTCAAGCACCCTGTCCACCTCTGCCCACGTTACAGGCTGAAACATGTTGAACTCATTGGGCAAGTCAGTGCAGTGGACGTCTTGGATCAATCTACTGGAGGACGACGGTCAAGGTCCCGGCAGATGGCCTCCACTTTAAAAGGACGACGGTCAAGGTCCCGGCGGATGGCGTCCACTTTATGTTTAAAGAAGGCCGCAAATTGGTCACAGGATATATTACTGGGAGGCCTGTCACTATGACCAACCCCAGATAAATCACGTTCTATACGAAAGATTTGTGCCTGATGGTTTTGAGCTTCGCTTATCCGGAAGTATGTTCTAGTGGCTTTCACCTGTTTGACGTGATTTTTGCAGCATTAGATTAGATTCTGTTGGGGCCCATCCCCATATGCTCTCCAGCCTCCTATTTTGCTTCATTGCCCACAAATGTTGGTTATACCGGGGGATGGGGGGGCTCAGCAGCAGAGGGGGTGTTTAGGTGCGATCGTGTCAACAGCCCTAGTAGTGGCAATATATCATCAGAGCCTCGACAGGAGTGCCAACCAGATCCGCCAGTATCCATTGCATTGAGTCTTGGAAACCAGTTGGATCCAATAGCCTGCGGGGGCAGACAATCTTAATGGGTCCCTGCTCCCCGTGAGGAGGGAGTGCTACTGAGAGGCTGCATTTTATCAGGTTGTGATCCGACCATGGAAAGGGGGCCGACAGAAGGTCAGTCACCTTCGGCTCACTCTCCACCTGCCCTGTTGAAACCCTGTTGTCCAGATTATGTCCGTTCATGTGGTCTCTTGGTCTGCAGCTTCTGGCCCAAAGCTTCTATGAGGTTTAGCATGCCAGAGATAGGAAGGAGACTGTGAAGATTGTTCCCTCTTTCACCTGTTCATTATGATTCTTTCTCCTTCCTCAAGGCAGAGATGCAAGCCCTAAAGGAACGCCTTGAAATAGAGAAGCAGGCCTGGGAGGCCAACTGCCTGAAGAAGGAGGTAATTTTTATAGCTTCTCCTTTTAGACTGCACTCTCCCTTGATTCCTCAGACTAAATTTTATTTCCCTCTGTTTGCCTTGACCTCAGGAGGCCTGGCTGCTTGGTAGAGAGCGAGAGCTAAGGGAAGAAGTTCGGAAAGAAAGAGACAAGGAGATAGAGCTGGTCATCCAGCGGCTAGAAGCTGACATGTCCACCACCAAGGAAGAGTGTGAGAGAGCCACAGAGAATAGGTAAGTCACTGGTTTACAAAGATCAGAGGCAGTTGTCTGGTTTTCAGCATTGATTCTTTAAGTCTCTTCTGTATTTATTCCTTTTATAAGTAGCTCTAGTTTTCTTTCTCAGTGTAAGTCTTGGACTGCAATGGTGCAAATCTGTACATGCAGAACTTCTCTTAGCCAGCTTTATGATCTGCCCAGTGTGGCTATTTTGCTTTTAAGAACTCTTGCCTCCCTTGCTAGAAAACTTCCTTTCCCATTTAACTGCAAGAGAGTTTGTAATATATTCGCGAAGGCTGCTGGTATATTTGAGAAAAGTGCATACCACATTTTTCTGTGTATAAGACATCCCCATGTATAAGACCCCCCCACTTTTCTAACACTAAATTAAGAAATCAATATTTTAAGCATAAAACAGAATACATTTTTATTTGGTAATTAGGTAACATTTACATACCAGTACTGTCTCTGTTGCATCTGAGTACTGCCTTCAGCATAGGTCAGGGAACAGGGGTAAATTACCCCAAATGGGGTAAAAGTGAAAATCCTGGGGGTAATGAGCAGAGTGCTTCACCCCTCCCTCCCTCCCTCTGCAGCCAAATATCAAATTGTAAGCCCTCCCTGAAATTTCCTGGTTGCAGCAGGCCCTTGTAAATCCTCCCTTAGTTGAGAGATCGGGAGATATGCTCCTTGATTGGTTGCAGCTGTGGATTAGCCCTAGGCAATCAATCAATCATTCCGGGGCTTCTGAATGACTGCTTCCTCTGGAAATGACCGCAAACAAGCAGCAGGAGGGAAAGGAGCAAGCAAGGGAAGGAGGGAAGAAAGGTGCGAGAGACCGAGGACTTCATCAAGCTTATTTAACTGTATGTAATTGTAGAAAATGGAGTGAGGGAGGAAATGGAGGGAGGGTGTGTGGGTGAGGGGGGGGGGAGAGAGAGAGAGAGTGAGTGAGAGAGACTGAAGAAAAAGAGAAATCTTGAATTAAGTCAGGGGGGAGGTGGCTTTTTAAGGTGCTGTCTAGGTTTATCATTGCTTTCCTTCCAAGAAGCAGGCAACTTTGAATTTCATGGCTGCTGTCCCCAATGGTGCAAATCTGTACATGCAGAACTTCTCTTAGCCAGCTTTATGATCTGCCCAGTGTGGCTATTTTGCTTTTAAGAACTCTTGCCTCCCTTGCTAGAAAACTTCCTTTCCCATTTAACTGCAAGAGAGTTTGTAATATATTCGCGAAGGCTGCTGGTATATTTGAGAAAAGTGCATACCACATTTTTCTGTGTATAAGACATCCCCATGTATAAGACCCCCCCACTTTTCTAACACTAAATTAAGAAATCAATATTTTAAGCATAAAACAGAATACATTTTTATTTGGTAATTAGGTAACATTTACATACCAGTACTGTCTCTGTTGCATCTGAGTACTGCCTTCAGCATAGGTCAGGGAACAGGGGTAAATTACCCCAAATGGGGTAAAAGTGAAAATCCTGGGGGTAATGAGCAGAGTGCTACACCCCTCCCTCCCTCCCTCTGCAGCCAAATATCAAATTGTAAGCCCTCCCTGAAATTTCCTGGTTGCAGCAGGCCCTTGTAAATCCTCCCTTAGTTGAGAGATCGGGAGATATGCTCCTTGATTGGTTGCAGCTGTGGATTAGCCCTAGGCAATCAATCAATCATTCCGGGGCTTCTGAATGACTGCTTCCTCTGGAAATGACCGCAAACAAGCAGCAGGAGGGAAAGGAGCAAGCAAGGGAAGGAGGGAAGAAAGGTGCGAGAGACCGAGGACTTCATCAAGCTTATTTAACTGTATGTAATTGTAGAAAATGGAGTGAGGGAGGAAATGGAGGGAGGGTGTGTGGGTGAGGGGGGGGGGAGAGAGAGAGAGAGTGAGTGAGAGAGACTGAAGAAAAAGAGAAATCTTGAATTAAGTCAGGGGGGAGGTGGCTTTTTAAGGTGCTGTCTAGGTTTATCATTGCTTTCCTTCCAAGAAGCAGGCAACTTTGAATTTCATGGCTGCTGTCCCCATCTGCACTGATCATGGAGCCCAAGAAAGAAAAATCTGTCACTGCCTCCATATCTTCCCTTTCTGTTTTCCAGGAGGTGATGGGGCCAGTGCCCATGGTCTTAGTTTTTTTGAAGTTGAGCTTCAGATCGTTTTTTGCACTCTCCTCTTTCACCCTCATTAGTGCAATGGTCCTTTGATTTTGGGCTGTGGCACCAGGGTGGGTGACATGGCCTTTAGCCTGGTTTGTTCCTTTTTGCACACCACACATAGAATAATTAAAGTGGTAGGGAAAGCCCCCTCCCCAATTCTGCATTGGCTGTCTCTAGCAAGCATGTCATTGCTAGCACAACTCTGGTAGCCACTGATGATGATTAAGTCCTGTGCGAGCTAGCAAAAATTTAATGCAACTTGCTAGGCACGTTGGACACCTTACTACTCCCTATACCACACCATGGCTGGAGTGCAATGTGTTCCAGCAAAAAATAGTGCGCATCTTTATCAAATTTGGTGCATCCTGCTAGTTCGGTACACAGCCTGTGTAGATTCAATAATATTTTTAATTCAAATAATGTATGATTTCCTTCATTTTGAATCAAGGGGGTAATGTCGGCGTAGATAAATTTTTTGGGGGGGTAAAAAGTAAAAAAGTTCCCTGTCCCCTGGCCTACAGGCTCCACCTCCAACGGTTGGTTCAGCATCAACCGACATCAATTACATAAGGCTCATGACTGGAGGAAGTTAAGCCTCCTGATTGAAGTAAGCCTGTTTGCAGAAACAAGATATGGGCTGTTTTGCAATCGCGCGGTTCTCTCCTTGGCTTACTTCCATGTATAAGATGACCCTCGATTTTTAGTCCAAAGATTTTAGACAAAAGTATTGTCTTATACATGGAAAAATACAGTAAGTTTCCTTGTGTTTCTATAAATGACTCTTATCATACCTTATACCTTTTATGTGTTACTTTTTTAAAGGAACATCTGCTAGTAGTAAAAGTTAACTGTCTTAAAATTTCAGTTGCGTTTGCCAATATGCTTTTTTGACTAAGGACTTCAAACCTGTTTCCATTCCTTCTAATTTAGTCATAGACCCAAGTATTAATTAGAACTGGTCTTACCTCAGAGATTCTCCGGTGACTGTATCGATCTGTATGAAGGCTCTGAATCGTCTGCTTCTGAGCCTGGAGGGTGGTAAGGGACTTTGGGAGACCTGGCTTGCTTTCACACAAACACAATTTGTTTCATGTGACATTGAGGTCAGAACCACATGGACAAAAGTTGTGATGAAACACTCTAGGGACTGAGCCCCAAACCAACTCATGAAACATTGAAAACCTACTGTGTTTATTATTTTGTGAATAGATGCCCACAAGCTGCTGGATGGAATTTGTAGGGGAAGATAGGTTCTGGTTTTTGACTGTTGCTCTGAGTAATAGCCTTCATTTTTTGGGGTGCCTTTGGCTGTGGTTTCTGCACGAATTACTGTGTCAATGCTGACGGCTCCCATTGCCTTCTTGAGATTGCTGCCATTGTGGTATATGGTCAAGTTCATTATAAGAAATGAGTGGTAGCAAAACAAATCTCATTGCAGCAGGAAATAAAATGACATAACAGGCTTTAAGCAGATGCACAGTATATTGTGAGCATAACCTGAAAAAAGTCTCTCTTCCTACCTCACTCTGCGTTGAACAGTCATCATGGCAAATGCTAAAAGCAGAGTATTGCTTGATTTAGTGCTATAGCATAAATCTGAACAAAGATGATGTGTGCATTGTGTTGTCTGCCATTGCCTCATTCATAAAATTGTATTAAGAACCCTAATATGCCTAAATTAGGGGCCATAGAAGGAGCCTCCCCAAACAAAGGAAAAGCTTTGTGAGTACATTGAACTATCCCCTACTTTATGGCATTGCAGCCACCAAATTCTTCACTTCCAGAATTGTTGCACTGGAACAGCACCAAACCCACCCACTTCATGGACTCTGATCCCTTGGATAACAGCTGAAGTTGAGGAAATGTTTATTCGCATCTCAAGATCTGACTGCTTCTGGTCAAAAATTGTCTGATTGTCTATATTTTATAGACAATAAAAGATTTTGTGCATCCATGATTTTGAATTGTGCAGTGCTCTGATAGTTATTCAAATTATTTGTTTATTTAAAATATTTCTGTTGCACTTTTCTCCTTAAAAGGACCCAAGATGACTAAAGAAACAAAGAAAGATGCCTAAATCCCCACCCCACCCCTACAAAACTGGGAGTTGATCCCAAGTCCTAGCTGAGCACTTAGTTGCAAGGTCTTCCCTTTTTTTATCCAGAGTAAAGAGGGTGCGGGACAAATATGAAGCAGAGCTGCAGGAACTGGAACGGTCAGAACGCAAGCTCCAGGAGCGCTGCAATGAGCTGAAGGTCCGGCTGTCAGAAGCAGAAGGCGAGGCTCTTCGTCTGCACAGTTTGCTGAGGCAAAAGGAACAGGAGACAGAGGACATCCGAAAGGTTTGTCCATTACCAGAGACAGTGGTAACTTTGCATCATTTTTTCCTGCTGGGATGAGCTTTCCTTTGGAGCTTCTCTTCAAGCTGGTGAAAGAATAGGGGAGGTTAAAAGGAACCCCAGATATCTTTACCATAAGTGGTTTAGCAGAGCGTGGAAGAGGTGGAAGCGTCTTGGCTTTGGATAAGACTGAAGGAACTGTGAAACCAGTTTGCACAAACCACTGGGTAAAGGACCTCCTCCTATGATTGCATGTACTCCAGATTAAAAGTGGTTAGGTATTGGAGGAGGATAGTGTGAGCACTGATGTATTTGAAGACCCAAGTTTCTCTTGCTGTATATGTTTAAAATCTGGAGATTGAAGTAAGTCAGCCTCTGTGCTTGGTGTTAACAGGTGAGAGATCAACTAACTCAGGAACGAAGCAGCCTCTCTGAGGTCATCAGACAGGAGTTTGCTGACCGTCTAGTGAGCACAGAAGAGGAAAACAAGCGACTCAAGGCAGAAATGGCTGAACTGCGGGCTCGTCAGCGCTTGGAACTGGACAGAGTCATGAGAGACAAAGAAGAAGAGCTAGAAGAGGTGCATAAAAGGTGAGAATTACTCTTTCTGATGTCAATTCTGGAGCTAGAGACTAACATATCCCAGATGTCTTCAGAAATTGTCACCATTCTTTCCCCTTCTTCCCAAACTAAATACCAAAGGGTCAGCTGCTGTGTTGGTAGTCCAGAAGCATTGTTGATGTGCATATTAGTCAAGTGATGCTGTTTTGTTGCTACAGCAAGACATTGCATGCTCTGGCAGCTAGGCAGAGCTGCATACCTTGGATAAAGCTGCTTTTGTATCCTTAAAATTCGTACAACTGTTTTGTGCTTCAAAAAACAAAACAAAACAAAAACCATAATAGAGTGGGCAGAGTAGCTTGTCTTGCTGCACCAGGTTTTAAAAGTTACCTGCCTCTCTAGAGTCTCATTTTCTTTATAGATTTCATTTCTTCTATTGGCCCAAAGAGGATTCAGAAGCACGGAACCACAGTTACTGCTCAGGGCAAAGCCTTTCATAATCTATCATCTATGTTCTAGGAGCAGCAGATCTGGCCAGGGAGAAGTCAACTTGGTCATACAACGCAATTTATTGTTAATGTTTCCCTTTCTGCACTCCTGGCACTAAAAATGGCACAGCTTTTCCACAGTATTCCCAAGGGCATATTCAGAACATGCAGATGTGCAGTTACTATCTGCACAAACTCTGTTTAGATACAGTGTACTATACCGTTGTAAATCAAGCCTAAGATGTGTTACAACCTTCCACCAACTATCTGTGATCATTGATTGTCTTGAAAGGGCTTCTTATCCCCTGTGGACTTTTGTAGAAACTAAAGCAGAGGTAGTGTTGTTCTTTCAAAAACAGAAATACCTTCCTTTTCTCTCTGCCCAGCCACAGAAACACAACAGGTCACAAAGGTGTAGAGTAAGCCTAAGCTACTAGATCTCTGTTGCATTTCATCTCCTCTGTAGGGTGAAGACAGCGATTGTGAAAAAAGAGGAAGCCGTGAACAGCCTTCGGAAGCAGTATGAGGTGAGCTTCTCTTACGGCTGCCAGCATACTTGTCCTACTTACCACAGGCATAAAGAAGATGATCAGGCAGAGAGGATTCAGTGCTGGCTTATATGGCATGGGGTATGAGAAATCAGGTGGTTAGTGTGATGAAGCAGAGCCAGTTTTGGACTGCTTAGGAAGAAGCCAGCTCTTGACCCAGAGTTTGGTGAAGGAACTGAGTGTGATACCTTCCTCGGTGGAAGAAGTCACTAGAGCAGACATAGGCAACACCAAATTCATGTTGCATGTGTGCTTCCATCACCTTTTTTGTTTTTGTCTCACTTAGAATGGCTCTAGTCTCACCCTCCATTAAAAATTAAAATAGAACAATCACCTTTCAGGAAGCATATTCTTTCCATAGAACAAGTTGCACTCTCCACATACTTTGCTTTGTCCGAAAAGCTCTAAAAATGGGAAGGGGTTGAACCCAGAAGTCGATTTCTGCCACCAGCAGGGATGTGTGTGTGGCCCACAGTGGCTTCCAGGCCTGCCTTGTTTTTTTTTTCCATTGCACTAAAGAAAGAGGAGAGGCTGGAGCCCTGTTAAATGCTTTGGCCCAAGAGGAAATCACAGAGGCAGAGGAAAACTTGTTGGCTAGAAGTATTGAGGTCTGGTTTTTCATCCATCAGGGAGACACCATAAAGTTCTTTGAATCTGTGACTTCTGGAAGATCGGCCTGATCTTAACTCCAGCATTATTGGTCTACAGAATAGGCGATAACTGATGAAACGTATTTACTTGAATCCTACGACATTTTGCTGAAAAGAAAATGGTGCATGTATTTCTGCGGTTTGGAGGGGATTGTCTCTTTTAAACGCAAAAACTATATTTTTGCCCCATTGTTTCCAGTCAAGGAAGGAGTTATATACCGGTACCACTGCTGGCATAGCTCTTAAGCAGTTCTAGGGCTCCACCAGGAAAGAGGAGGCTTTGGATCTTTTAGCTCATCAGCCTCTCTTACTTCATCTCCTTTGTATCCACCAAGCCAGATTTCCCAGGTATCAGGTGTAGACTCTTCCACCCTTTGTGAGAGCAGGGCTGTCCACTTTCAGAGAGAGAAATCCAAAAGAATCCTATCGCGCCTCAGATGCTGTCCCAGGAGCTATAGAATAACATGCTAAATTGCTACATGAATTTATTTTTAAAAAAGTAATTGAAATAAGCTCTTTCCCACTCAGCTGGAATCCTACTTCATTAAATTCATGGAGTTAATTAATAGGAATAGGTGGAATCCCATTTAAATTAAACCTTTAAGTTGATTATATCATATGGTTTGATACCACAGGTTTATTGGTAGGTGTGATGATGTTCTGGGTTCGAGTTAGGCTGTTCCTGATCTAAGGATGAAACCGAGGCAACTGATTCATGAAATAAAGTATTTTTATTATTTACTTCAACAGAGTCTCTTTTGTCAAATTCACTAGAACGGCAAACAGATAACTGTGGGGGAGATTCCTCCCATAACCAGAACAATGAACGTTCGTCAACATCTTTTAATAATAGGTTTCTTTCTCTTAAACTTTCTTGGATGTTTCTCTCATGCAGAGGTCGCGTCCCACACATGGAGTCCCGCAACACGGGTGTCGAGCCCACTCTACTGTTGCGGGTAACTCTCTCCTCATCTTCGGGTCTCCCGTGGGCAAGGGGTTTGGTCCCTCTGGACTGAGCACCCTGGGATACACTGGACGGTCCATTCTATGGGACTTAAACCCAGGAAGGGGTTTGGTCCCTCTGGACTGAGCACCCTGGGATACACTGGACGGTCCATTCTATGGGACTTAAACCCAGGTTGGGATACACTAGGACGGTCCATTCTATGGGACTTAAACCCAGGATGATTGGTCTATAGGTTACTTTGGCAGAAGTCCCCTCTACCGGATCATCTGCCATCTCGACAGGTCTTTTCCGAGGCACAGAGAAGACATGACCGAACTCCTCCAGTTCTTTAATTTCTTCCTCTGTGAATACACTCACTTTCTCTGTCTCGGTTGACACCTTTCCTATTTCTGTTGTTAAGAAAACATCTACACGCTCCCTTTCCTCACTTCGTCTCTTCTCCCTGTTCTCCCTTTCTAACTGTCCTAACAGAACTTTTCTCCTCGCGCCTTCCCTCTCTCCTCGAGCTCTCTCTATTTCTCCCGTGCGGCTGTCTTTTTCCTCCTCCTCACGTGCTTCTGCTGAATATTCCTCTATCTCTTTAACTTCTCTTTCCTTTCCTCCTTCCGCGGGTTTCTGGTCATATTTTATATCATATTCGTGAGAGGACGGCTCACTCCGGCTCCTATCCTCACAGTAGGTAGTCATCAACACTAGTATATTTTTCAGTTTTAAAACATATGTTTCACTTTTAAAACAAAGATTCAAAATCACTTATACATTAGACATTAGAACAATCTTATTGTTATTTAATTATGTCTTGTGAAAATAATTTTCCATTCTCCTTCATTTACCAATTTTTGCTTAAGTTTTCATGTTGCTATCTAGATTCATCACATTAGGGATGTTTCAGTTCTTATAGCTTTGGATTGCTTTGAATGTGAGAAGATTCACCATCATTGTACACATTAAAATATTCCCAACATTTCATTTTCTATTTCTCTTTTTTCTTGTTAGATTAGTTCCTCATATTTATTTATTAAACTGTTTTTAGAACTCCCAAATTATAGGACAACTCTGTCGTGAATGTATCCAGTTACTTATTACATCTTCTCTGCCATAGTTATAATCCATTTTAGAAAAATGATAAATCTTAACAGGGACTAGATGTATGGCTGTCTATTATTATGAAATCTTCCCCTTTTTGTGATATATAAGGAGAACATGCATCCCTGTTTGATTGTTGACTATTTAATATTTTGATTCTTCTACTCAAATCTCCTAATATCTTTTCCCCATGTTAAACATATTCCTATATGCTCTTTGATTTTAGAAACCAAATCTTGATTTTGCTTTAAAAAATTTTTCTCAGCAATTAAGAAAATTTTTGTTAGTTGTTGATTTTTGTTTGTGGTTTCTCACAGGTGTTGTGTGTATACAGTGAGAAAGACAGAGAGAGCAGATCCTGAGGAAATGGGAGATAGCTACCCTTAATTTTTTTTTTCATTGTATCATGAGACAGAGTGGACGTTTTGTATCCACACCAGATGTCTAGCTATTTTTGCATTTTCCTCTATCTTAAAAAGTTCTGGATCATCTTGTTCATGGTTAGTTTTATTTCTGCTGAGTACAAGTGGGAGGTTTGGAGGACAAGAGAGTAAATTATGTTTTTTTTAATTTACTATGGGTGATTGTATAAATAACATGTGATACCTGACCAGCTATGTAAAACCAAGAGCCCACTGAACCGGGCATCCTCTCTCTTGAGGATGTCCATATTTACAGAAGATGTTCATGAGTAGTTGCAGGAAAACTGCAGTATCCTCTCTCTTGCAAAGATTCTTGCTCAAAGAGCTCTCACTCCCAATTGGTGCTTGTTGATTTTAGTTCTCTTTTCCTTGCAGGCGGCCATGAAGAGGGCAGATCACTTGGAGGCCCTCTTGGACCAGCAACGTAAGCAGCTACTAGCAGTCAAATAACAGTGGCATCAGCACCAGTGGCTTTGCAAGGGCAGATGCAGCTGATCATGCATGGCGAAAGGAAGTTGCCAGTTGTGATCGATGAGAGAGTAAAATAAAATGAACACTAAACTGTATGTGGCTGGGGAAGGATTTTTGTTCCATCTGTTTTTCTTATGTTGTTATTATTTTTTTGATTTGTACTTTTACTTGTGCCTATGATCTGACCCCTTGTACGAGAAACCTGGGTAGAATCCCAGTACTTGCTGATGTATTTTAATAGTAAAATCCAGCTGATTTGTAAGAGGTCTGTCTAGCAGTGATTTTCTTACTCTTAAGAATAACCCCTACTCTCTGGGAAAACTCAGAAGGTGCCTGCCAGCTGCTTTCCTGATCCTACTTTATCCGCCTAGTACTTGCTTTGCTAGATGCTGCTAGATTAAAATCCTGACAGTAGTTTTGGTCTGCTGATTTATTTCTTAAAACATTTTGGTGCAGATGCTAATTACAATACCCTGTGAGTGGATGTTCTAGCCTTTTGTTTCTGATCATGGGGCGTTCTTGGCAAAGATACTGGAATGGCATTGCCAGTTCCTACTCCAGGTGGATTGTGTTTAGTTGGACCACAACAAACTATGGCAAGTCCTTAAAGAAATGGGAATTCCTGACCACCTTATCTATCTCCTGAGAAACCTATATGTGGGACAGGAAGCAACAGTTAGAACTGGATATGGAACAACTGATTGGTTCAAAATTGGGAAAGGAGTACGACAAGGCTATATATTGTCCCCCAGCTTATTTAACTTATATGC